GGGTTCTCTCCTGTTACGCCTCATCAATCCTGCACCAACAGCGCTCCCTGTTGGACTAAAGTTGTTCTAGCTCTAACAGGGTGATGGACTCACGCCAGTCTCTCTGGAAAACAGAGCTCCATGAATCCCAGGGCTACCTTATTAATCAGAGAACCTGGAAAAAGAAACTTGGCAGAGCCTGCCACCTGTAGGAAGAGAGCCTCAACGTGATAGAGGTGTGTTGGTCCATAAGGGCAAGTGAGGCAGCACCCTGCACTTTTTATTTCATTTTTTACTTTAAAACCTCTACTTTCCCTCTTTTTTTAACTGATTCCTGTTTGATAGTAAACAAATCCCAATACAGATTTACTTTCACAAGTGGCTACAATGCTCCATCTCTTCAAGAATAATTGCTTTTTGGTTTATTTGAATCCCAGTGGAGACTGAGATGGCAATGAAAGACAAAGGAGGAGGAAAGGTGATAAAGTTCACACACACACAAAGTTACTCACATTGCTGGGCAGCACTTCCGCATATGTTTTCAGTGTGTTATCTGTGTCTGTCACATAATTTAAGATGTATTAGCTTGTAAAAATGTGTTAATAAAACGACTACAAATCTGATGAGTCAACACGACGTCACATCAGAATCTCTTCTCCGCCATGGCTGCTACATAAACACATGGCCAGAGTGTTTGTGGTTTTCTCCACATTAATGCTACTTCTGTCGTCCTGGAAGAATGATGCAAAGCTCGCTAGAGCTTTTCCACTTCTCCATGTCTGGTTTCATGACGTCAATATGGTGAGATGCATTTGTAGTTCTACACCTATTTTCACACAAAACCTAAAATAACTTTTGCAGTCCTTTGAAAATAAGCGCTTTCTCGGCATCAAAATGTGTCCAAAATTCATGAACATCAAATGTGAAATCCATGGCATGAATCAAAAGGGATGAAAATGATACATCTGGGTTAGATATTTCCACAGAAACCTACCTGGAGGGATCTAAATCACAAAAAACCATATTTATCATGATTTTTTTTAAACATAATAGTTCAATGGTCTATACACGTTTATGACATTCTTTCACATAAAATCCCTCTCATTTGATGTTAGTTTTATTCTTGACATTTTCAGTACCTTCCAGAATGAGTTGTTCAGGGCTCTGTCAGACCAAGATCACTTGTTTTTTCACACATCTGCAGTGGTCTTCAGTGAGTTGATCTCTGTGGGGAAAAAAGCTCTGGTCCTCCTTTTCCAGGAAGTACAAGTGAGCCACAGCAGAGATGAACTGAAGACAGCAAGATTTGGAGTCTTATTTCCTGATATTTAGACATGTCACCTCTGATTGGCTAATAACAATGCAACACACCACTGACCGACTCTTGTTTTCTTTGTAACATTGATGCTTTATCTCCACAAATAACGCAAGCCTGAATGAGGTTTGCCATTTTATGGAGTTGCTAATGCTAACAGCTAGCTTCTACTAGCAAAGATGTGCTCTGCTTTCTCGTAAACACTGAATCAGCAACAGTCTTCCCTGTTGTGAGCCAATGGTGAGTCCATTAATGCCATCCATCCATCCATTTTTGGCCGCTTATCCGGGGTTGGGTCGCAGGGGCAGTAGCCTAAGCAGGAAGGCCCAGACTTCCCTCTCCCCAGCTACTTTGACCAGCTCCTCCAGGGGAATCCTATGGAATTACTTGACCAGCCGTGAGACGTAGTCTCTTCAGCGTGTCCCGGGTCTTCCTTTGGGCCGTCTCTCGTTTGGACATGCCCAGAAAACCTCACCAGGGAGGCATCCTTATAAGATGCCTGAGCCATCTCAACTGGCTCCTCTCGATGTGGAGGAGCAGCGGGTCTGCTCCGAGCCCCTCCCGGATGACCGAGTTTTACACCCTATCTCTAAGGGAGAACCCAGCCACCCTGCGGAGAAAACTCAATTCGGCCGCTTGTATCTGTGATCTCGTTCCTTCGGTCACTACCCAAAGCTCATGACCATAGGTGAGGGTAGGAACGTAGATCAACTGGTAAATCAAGAGCTTTGTCTTCTGGCTCAGCTCTCTCTTCACCATGACAGACCGGTACAACGCCTGCATAACTGTAGACGCAGCACCAATCTGTCTGTCAATCTCACGCTCCATCTTTCCCTCACTCGTGAACAAGACCCCAAGATACTTAAACTCCTCCACTTGGGGAGGACCTCGTCCCTGACCTGGAGAAGACATTCTACCCTTTTCTGACTCAAGACCATGGTCTCATATTTAGAGGAGCTGATTCTCATCCCAGCTTCTTCACACTCGACTGCAGACCGCTCCTATGAGAGCTGGAGATCACTTTCTGACTAAGCCAACAGGACCACATCATCTGCAAAAAGCAGATACTCAATCCTTAGGCCATCAAAACAGATCCCCTCAACACCTTGGCTGCGCCTAGAAATCCTGTCCATAAAAGTTATGAACAGAATTGGTGACAAAGGGCAGCCTTGGAGAAGTCTAACTCTCACCGGAAACGAGCTCAACTTACTGCCAGCAATGCGGACCAAGCTCTGACACCGGTCATACAGGGACCTAACAGCCCGTATCAGAGGACCTGGTACCCCATACTCCCAAAGTACCCCCCAGAGTGCCCCCCGAGGGACGCGGTTGAATGCCTTCTCCAAATCCACAAAACACATGTAGATTGGTTGGGAAAACTCCAACACACCCTCCAGGACCCTCCTAAGAGTATAGAGCTGGTCCAGTGTTGCATGGTCAGGATGAAAACAACATTGTTCCTCCTGAATCCGAGGTTCGACAATCTGCCGGACCCTCCTCTCCAGAACCCCGAAATAGACTTTACCAGGGAGACTCAGAAGTGTGATCCCCCTGCAGTTGGAACACACTCTGCAGTCCCCCTTTTTAAATGGGGGACCACCACCCCAGTCTGCCAATCAAGTGGAACTGCCCCAGATGTCCACGCGATATTGCAGAGCCGCATCAGCCAACACAGCCCTACAACATCCAGAGCCTTAAGGAATTCTGGGCGGATCTCATCCATCCCTGAGGCCTTACCACTGAGGAGCTTTTTGACAACCTCATTGACCTCAGCACCAGAGATTGGAGAGCCTAACCCAAAGTCCTTGGACTCTGTTTCCTCACTGGAAGACGTGCCGGTGGGACTGAGGAGGTGTTCGAAGTATTCTGCCCACCAATCCACAACGTCCTGAGTCAAGGTCAGCAGCACACCGTCCCCACTATAAACAGTGTTGGTGGCACACTGCTTTCCCCTTCTAAGGTGCCGGATGGTCTCACTGAACTCCTCCCACGCCTGGGTTTTTGCCTCTATGACCACCCGGGTCGCATTCCGCTTGGCCTGACGGTACCCATCAGCTGCCTCTGGAGTCCCACAGGCCAAATAGACCCTTTAGGTCTCTCTCTTCAGCTTGACAGCATCCCTAACCGTCGATGTCCACCAGCGGGTTCGGGAATTGCCACCACACAGGCACCGACAACCCTGCGGCTGCCGCTCCGGTTGGCCACCTCGGCAATAGAAGCACGGAACATGGCCCACTCGGACTCAATGTCTCCCGCCTCCTCCGGAACATTTTGGAAGTTCTATCAGAGGTGAGAATTGAAACTTCTTCTGACAAGAGACTTCACCAGACATTCCCAGCAGGCCCTCATAATGCGTTTGGGACTGCCAGGTCTGACTGGCATCTTCCCCCACCATCGAAGCCAACTCACCACCAGGTAGTGGTCAGTTGACAGCTCCGTCCCTCTCTTCACCCGAGTGTCTAAGACATGTGGCTGCAGATCAGATGAGACGACGACAAAGTCAATCATCGAGCTGCAGCCTAAGGTATCCTGGTGCCAGAAAACAACACTGCACATACGGAAACCTTTATGTCTGAACATGGTGTTCATTATGGACAATCCATGATGGGCACAGAAGTCCAATAAAAAAAACACCACTTGGATTCAGATCAGGGGGGCAGTTCCTCCCCACCACACCTCTGCATGTGTCACTATCGTTGCCCACGTGAGCGTCAAAGTACCCCAGTAGAACGAGGGAGTCACCGGAAGGAGCGCTTTCCAGCAACTCTCCAAAGTCTCCAAAAAGCATGGGTATTCTTAGCTGCAGTTTGGTGCATAAGCACAGACAACAGTCAGCACCCATCTCCCTGCACGTAGGCGGAGGGAGGCTTCCCTCTCATTCACCAGGGTAAACCCCAATGTCCAGGCACCATGATGGGGGGCATCTAGTATGCCCACCCCTGCTCGGCGCCTCTCAGTGGGGGCAACTCCAGTGGTAGAGTGTCCAGTCCCCCTCGAGGAAACTGGTTCCAGAGCCAGAGCCATGTTTTGAGGTGAGTTCGACTATATCTAGCTGAAACCTCTCAACCTCACACACCAACTCAGGCTCCTTCCCCACCAGGGAGGTGACACTTCAGGTACTGAGAGCCAGCTTATGTAGCCGAGGATCAGACCGCCAACGTCCCGCATTCGGCTACAACCCATTACACATTGCACCCGACCCCTTTGGCCCCTCCCACAAGCGGTGAGCCCATTAATGCTAACTTGACATTGTATAGTGCTAATGTCACTGGTTTTTCTAATTTGAGCATTTCCCAGCCTATATTCTATCAGCGACATATGCAGGAAATAGGGGAAGAAGGTTTATGTTGCACGATAAACTCATCTATTTCAAAAGAACAAGTAAAAACTGTTTTCTCAGTCAACACCGAACAAAACAAGCTGGAGCTTGCCACGCCCACCCATCTCCTGCTATTAGATGAGAAGCTCCGATATGTAGGAGAGGCTTGCAGTAGAGCCGCTGCTCCTCCAGCATCAACAGATGAGGGGGTTCTGTGCTAATTTTCCCATTTGTGACATCAAAAGTGGCAACCTTTTGAAACAGCATGTTTTAGGCTAATAATTCATAAAACCAAACACTGACAGAAAACGGGTGGATTTTTTCATGTTTGGAATTTTTATAGAGGAAGTAGAGACATGGCTGCATAAAAAAGATGTGAAAGGTGAGTATTGCATAAATATCCGCTTTAATGCATGTCTGTTAATATCTTAAATAAGTTTATTGTATTATATGATGACAATAAAGTTCTTGAATGTTCTACATCCTGTTCCATCTCAAGGGATTGGAGATTCCCCCTCCTGGTCTGGGCTTTTCTGGGAGTGGATCTTCTCTTTGTATGCTCCTCCCACCTGAGTCACTTTGCAATGTCTGATGTCCTCCATTTCCACCAGGTCTTCCTTCTCTTGACCCATACTTGCCCTGACCTCTGCCCCGGTGGTTTCCCTGATCTCATTTTGGGGATCTTCATGTGTTTCTGGTTTTAAATCATTTCCAGAAGTCTCTATCTTCTGTTGCTTCACTAAAGAGGAAAAATCTTCATCTTCTAGCACAGTAACCACTGAGAACTCTATCTTGCTGTCTGGACTGGCCTTAACAATGGCTGTGCTGTTTGTTCTGCCCCCCCTGGGTGAGGTTGAGGACAACGAGTTTGAAGGTGACAGAGGCAAACAAACCAGTCCCTCTTTACTGCTCTGATCAGGAGAGAAATCACCAGAAACAGCTGTCTTTATTCCTGTCTTTCCATTGGTCTTAAGGATCGTATCTCCTTCTAACTTTAGTTCCTTCCCAGACTCTGATCTTGTATCGGCAATCCCTGTGGTTGTAGACATTACGGGTATAACATGTTCTAACTCTAACCTAGGCAAAGAGGGACTAGTGGGATCCAAGTTTTGCTCCACTGGGGTTTTTGCTGACTCTGATGACAAATTTCTTAAGCCATTTTTGGGGCTTTCTGACTCATTCAGAGATGAGATTTGACCTTTTAGAGAAGATATTGATAATAAGGACTTATGAGGGGATGAACCTAAAGTTATCACAGAAACACCAGATCCAATAGAAGCCTCTTGATCTGGGCTTGAACAATGGTCGGAGGACTTTTGTGCAACCAAAGGGTCTTTATTTGTATGAAGCTGAGACTGGCCGGTAGATTTACTTGCACCAAATCCCGAACTGGTTGCTGCCATCAGGGAAATGGGTGTTGAGGTTTGTACTGGCCCAGTAAGGTCTGCCTCTTCAGTCTTTAACATCTCGTCAACATTTAATCTCCTGTCAGATAGACCAGGAAGGGAAGTAGCGATAGGGGCTACACCTCCACAACTGGAGGTCTGGACCATATCATTAGATCCAGGTTGAGGGCCTTCCTGGAGACTAGAGCTGGAGTCACAGGACTGTTTGTTACTCTGGACTGAGGGAGAGTAAACAGAAGTTGATGTTTTATCCACACATTGAGCTGTGGTGGGCTCAGATTTAGGTTTGGATCCAGGTTTTGTACAGTGCTCAAAACCAGTTCCAGTGTTTTCTTCCTTCAAAGGTTCTTCAAGCACCAGAGGTGGTTGTTGAAAGGCAAGCTTTACCCCGCCAGCATCCTTCACTTTCCCGATTCTGGGTTTTAAACCCAGAGGGTCACTACCCCTCCTCAACCCAAACATGGTCACATTGTTCTTCTGTTTTCCCGTACTTGCAGCTATTCCGTTAGCACCGTCAGGAGGCAGCTGTTCTTCCTTGAACATATTTTTCAGGATATACCCGCCGTCCTTCCGCTCCTCACTATCCTGGGACAGGTTCAGCTGATCCCCTGAAATGGCCAGTGGATTAGGACCTCCATGGAGCTTTTTATCCGTGTGTGTCACTCGAAACCTGTGGAAATACAAACAGTGAATAGGAGTGAATGAGTGAATATGAAGGGAACCTTTCCCTTCCACTGGGACGTTTTTCAAAATATCAAAACTCTGCAGTGCTACCTTCCAACAGAGAAAACAGTCTGCTCCCCGGGTCGTTGCTTGAAGCGGGGTGTTCGGCTTTGTCTGCGGCCCTTCTTAGACTGAACCTGGGCACACAGGAGGCACGAGTTGTGGTCTGATCCTGAATGAACTGTGTGGAGATGGGGAGGAACACCACCAATGGACTCTTTACGCAACCTGGACATAAACATCAAAGAGAATTTCAGATCAGATTTTAATGGAACCCATTTCTGTTGAACCTGCAGAAGAAGAGGGTCAGTGATGTCCTGTTCTCACCAATCCACAATTCTACAGTAATTTATTTAGTGGATAAACTTTATTGTATTTAATCATTAGTCTTTTTCTCAGTAGAGAAAAAGGAGGCATTGGCTAGGGTCAGGGGGCTTGCAGTGAGTTCTGTGGTGTGGCAGCCCTAACCCTAACCCTAACCCATGTGACTGAAAACACAGAGTCCCTCTCCCCATCCCCCAGCCAATCCAAGGAGAAGAAATCCTTTTCCTCCAGCTCCTCCCTGCAGAGGAGGGTGACCAGATCCTCACTATAGAACTCCTTCAGGCATGATTTGTGCAGAACTGGAGGAGGCATGACCTCTAAACGTCCAAATATTGACAGTTCTCCAAGAAATACTACTGGAGCCAACCAATCTCCTTTGCGAGATTCAACTGTGGAAAAATGGCTGGATCCAAAGCGTGAATGGTTCATATATGGTGGTGTTGAAGGAGGATCTCAATGCTGACGAGAACATGATCAAATTAAAGAGTGTATTTTTAATGGTATGATGAACAAAAAATTATGTAATTAATCAAAAGGGTCAATTTTCACCATCGAATTGACACAGTAACCTTTCATGCACGCCAGAGCTGCAAAGTCAAGGTTACGCCAGCTGGAGGATCCAGACGCACAATCAACCTTTTGCTCACTTATTGTTCTTCAACGCAGGCATAAATAAACTGCCAAGGTCTCCCGCAAAAGCCCTTATCTCTCTGCTAAAAGACAGACTGTTGGATTCCTCACTCTGAATAAAGGTGAATCCACATGAATCCTACAAGGCTTTACAACTTATAAGTTAAATAATCATATGTGATGAATGAACAAGATGTTTAAATCAAATGTTTGAATAAACTGTGCTTAAATCAATGAATTTGAAATGAATATTGTTCCTACAATGATCCATTTATATCACAAATCAGTATGTGTTTGATTTAACAAGTTAATCATCGTTTACGCTCATACACATAACAATAAGAAACATATTAAGGTAAAAAACACTTTTGTATCTGAAGGAAGGCGTGGCTTTCTAAGGAATGTTTTGGTAAAGCCTTCCAGACACGGCACAGTCTGATTTGCCAGAATGGCCGGAAATCATAACAAGGTAGTTTAATAAAACAGAAATTACTTCCCGAGTAATTCAGTTTCTAGCAGAGTTCCGAACCAGCCAATTCGGAACAAGCATCCTTGAGACATCTCTTTTGACATACAGTCAAAATCTGTTTGCACGCTGCCAGCAGACACAGCCAGACGGCTCCCTATGAGCCACATCCACTGTGGATGCAAACAAGCATTTCAGCTACTGTTGTGACCTGGAGATATCTCAAGACTGGACGGGTCGTATCGGAGTTTAATCTACTGGCTCCCGGTGCCGTGAGGTCCACCCGATTTCTGACAGTCCAGATCTGACACTCAGTTGAAAGATATTGGCGGCTTTGTAACGTATAATCATACAAATTGAGTCTAAAATCCATGGGAGCGGGTCTAAGGGTGTTTCAAAATGTCAAGGCGCCTGTCCTTGAGGGGCGATGTCTTGCGAGCCAGGTGCCATTCTTATGTGGACACTGTCATTCCTTGGTCAAAGAAAATGGTTAAATGGAACACACTTACATGACCACGGCGATCACGTAACGTCACGTGACACGGGAGACAACATTATATTTTATACGTATTAGTTTCAATATAAATATGTAACGAGTCTTTTACTTTTAAAATTGTGTATATATTTATTAAATTAAATATACAAGTGAGTTATGACCTGCTAGCCACCGAAGCTGCAACTACTAGGCAACTAACCAACCATAGAAAACTTCTTTGGATCTAAAAAAAAACATTTTAGATTAGTTGACTTACTTGTAATCTTGAAATTTGCCCCCAAAGTAGCTGCCGGCTTCTGATCCGCCATCCTTTTGAAAATACTGCGGTGTATTTTTGACTAAAGCTAGGCTACAAGACACCTCCCGTGTATCCTTGCTCAGCTAGCTAAACGGCTAACAAACGGAGAACACACGCCTCGGTAGAACATGAACATTGGAACATGTCTTGGCGGTTCCTGATGACATATCTCCTAGGCAACCGGGGTGAGACCAAGACATCAAGGCGAGGATCCTTGGCATTGAGAAACACTGTAACCCCCAAATTCCACTACCTCCGCTCCGGTCCGCCCCCGCCTTCCGCAGCCGCTCGCTTCCGAACTCAATTTTTACTGGTACCCGCTCTACAACGGCTCTGCTCCGGTGCGGAGACCTGAGGGGGGCAAACAAGCATGCGCGGGACTTTCGAGATCTTGCGATACAGTCCGAGCAATAAACGCGGAAGTTAGATCCAAACACCCGTTGTGTGGGAGAAGCATCGGAAATGAGCTGTTTAATCTGCCCATCATTTGTGTTGAGACATCAGCAGTGTGTGGATCAACAAAGTGTGACTACTTTGATAGTAGAAACTGTATTTATGGCTTAATTTTGTGCATTTAAACTTCAGTCGCCATTGATAGTTGTTAAAAGTTGTTAAACCTGTGCATATGAAACAAAAAACGCCTTTTGTTTATCGATTTATTGTGAAAAACGGAAATTGTGCTTGCTCCTTTTCCTGTTGGGCCGTTGTGATTTCTGTCCATTGACTGCGGAGGTGCTCCGGCGTCCGGCGAAAATAGGATCGATTCTATTTTTGCCGGACGCCGGAACAGAGGGCGGCGCATGGCGCCGCACTGCCGGAGCACGGCCGCAGTAGTGGAATTGCTCTGATTGACTACAATGGGACCGATTTTGCTCCGGCGTTCGTGTCGGAACGGAGCGCAGCGGAGCGGAGGTAGTGGAATTTGGGGGTAAGTCTCTGGGCGATGCCATATTGGATGCCATGTTTCCTCCTACAGGAGCCCATGAGGACAAAACACATTCATAAACGTTTTGTTTTACACTTGCCAGTGCTAAAAGGGAGTCTGATGTGCTTGGCATTTTGCTGGAGGTTGCGATCGCGGGGATATTTGACACTAACACCCATCCTTTGGTAAGGTCTTACTCAAAAACAAAAATATTGATGCAGTGATTTAGGTATGTACTGCCCCCAATTGCCAGGGAAAATACACACCGGTCACTTATATCACCAAAAATGCTGCAGCTGCTGCAACCGCTAATGCATGACCTCGTTGCTGCCAACCACTGATGTATATTACAGAAGAAAAAGAAAATGAGGACATAACATTTGGCATCACATGCCTCGTCCAATCATATTCACTAAGGTTAAATAAACTTTTCAGCTAGCGTGTCACGGAGCAGGCTTGTCCACCAGTATGTCACCATGGTGAATGTGCAGCGCTGCAGGTTAGCCTTGTTCATGGAACCAAATTTGAAGAAACTGAGCTGGGACTGTCAGAGTGCGCCTGGCTTATGGGATTAGCTCGCTTCGTGGAACAGACTTCTGGAATACCACCCATCAAAATGATTACAATTTTTATTATTATGATGATACCCCGGTTAGATTTTATACTGGCTTAAAGCTGAATGCTCTTTTCTTGTCACATGTTGTGTAAAATATTACTTTGAAATCCTTTTTTGTATACAGTATAAATAGACCATAGGCATTGCTGAATGGTGAATGTTGTGCCTACCTGGGGTCGTGGCGAACACAGACATTGTGGTTTCCCAGCATCTCATTGAAGGCTTCCATATTGGCTGAAGGAGACAAGAAGAATCCCAGTCAGAAATCTACTGACGGAGAAACTTATTTTCTGGAGAATTATATAAACAAAACAGGTTAGTACTTAAACCCTAGCAACACCCAGACTGACCAATGACAGACGAATCTGGTGAATTACTGAAACTGCTCTGCCTTTGATTTCCTCTGAGGTCTTTGATCCAGATGGAGAGATTGGTCCTGTCACATCATAACTCTTGATGTCATCCCTTTAGTGGACCAGGACCTTCCACTGAGCCTGCAGTTCAGGATCTTCATCCATAAAACTGGGATCTTTCTCTCCCATAGAGGTGCCGAAGAACGGCTTAAGCTTTAGATTTTTAAAGATGTAATAATTACTGTAAGCTACTTTAGCTCGGCCTCTAAATTCACCGGGGGCAGCTGCAGCTCAGAGGGGGAGAGCGGTTCCACCCCAGGCCCCAGTGAGTCACATGGCTTTGGCCAAAAAAGTGAACCATGAAAAGTGCCACCATTAATAATTAATGGCTGTTTTAATTCTAATTGGTTTATTATAAAACCTGACAGTTAAAGCAGAATCCTCCAGCTACGTCTGGGAGGGATCATCTCTCATGTTTTACTCTATAGTAGGGCTGCAACAAACGATTATTTGGATAATCGATGAATCGGATGGGGTCTCGACACGATTAATCGATTAATCAGATTACATTGGGACATTTTTAAAAACTGCTAGGGAAACGTTATTTCTCTCCTTCCTTCACTTTATTAAACACAACATTATTAGAAAACAGTTCAATAGCAGAAAAACAACATGCCATCACCTAAATTGTCTTATAAGGTGTATAGACAGAGACCCTAAGCTACACCTATCTGTGACCTAAAATGCTTGGTCCAAGTTAAACAGCTTAAAGAGCAAGTCAACCCCTACCAGAGTCTAACTCCACTCTCACTTCATGTTTGAAAAATGCAACACATGCTGTTGCCTGGCAGACCGAGGGGGCAGAGCCGCTAACAAATACACACACACACTCAGGCTCATGACAGCATTGTGACATCATAATGTACCAGTTTACATCATAGCATACTTCTTAGCCAATAGTGGTGGCAGATTTTAAAAAAAATACAGTGCAGAGTTTTTACCTGACAACGGCACAACACTGCCAGTTTTAGGCAGAATATTTAAATTTTAACTAAGATGCACTGAAGTGCCAAATTATTGACGACACGTGTCTGCAGCATGATTAGACACTCGTTTATTTAGTTTATCAGCAAAAAAAAGTTTATTTGGGGGTGACTTGCTCTTTAAGGGCAATTCTCATCTGTTTTGTTTGATCTCATCTGTAGACATTTATTATAATTGGGGATGTCAAACAACTAATTTTTAAATGTAATTAAACATTGGCTGTGAATTAATCAAAATTAATCACTATTTCCAAAAATGACTGAAAAATACCAAATAAAACAAAAGTAAATGAATGCCATCCTCCTTGCGATGATGCCCTGGGCAACTGCCATAAAGTCACATCAAGAGATGCTGCTGATCATTCCAATGATCCCAAATAGACTCACATTAGGCCACATGAAAGCAACTGAACCCAAAAATATATTAACCAGTATATAACTGCACTCACACACAACACGCCTGCAGCAACAGTTAGGACTCCTCCCTCCCTTTTAAAAGCGTTTTCGCTTCTGAGGACATTGTGGTTGTAAAACCACATGCTAGTAGTCTGGCCCCGGTGTGATCAACCAGTTTCTGCGGGAATGTGACGGCGGAACCGGTTCGCAGCAGCAGGGGTAAGGAGTGAGCACCACCTCACCCCTACCACGTGGACCTCAAGGGATAAACCAACAATCCTGCTCAATGGTCATTTTTCCTGGCGGGGTCACCCATGAAGACAGTGGGAGGGTTAATCTAAATAACGTTTATGAGTCGATAATCTGAAACAACTAGAATCCCACCAAGTACATATTTAGGTCTCAGGATGTAAAGGTAGAAACCATTAAATCGCCCTAGCACAACAATTTAAATCAAGTTTCATCCTATACATTTCTGGATTTTGTAAGGACAGTTCACTCACATAACATGTATTTTGCCTCAAGGTGGTGCATGAGTCATAATTAAACCAATGATATTGTATGACCCAATGAAAAAGGGGTCCAAATCTGTAAATGCAGCTTAAATCCACCATGTTACCATCTCACCAGATACGCTGCCAGTTTTCCTGTCTCCAAACTACATTTACACCAGGATCAGAGTTTGCTTACAACATTTTCTCCATTTTCACCATTGTTTTCTTTAGAAATCACAAAGAGAAGACTGCTCTCACACACATCAGACCCCAATTTGTTCATAAACAAGCTTTACAAATGAGGCCAGCAGTTGTCGTCTTTAATTGTTTGAACAGGATAGAGGCCAGAGGCTGCTTAGCCTCCTGCTTTAATCCGCATTGTTATTTATGCTTGAGACACTAAATCATTACAGCAGCTGGATCCTGCAAGAGGAATGCTAAACACAGTATTTACTTTTAGCCCAATGAGGAAATGTTAGTCTGCCCCAAATGTCTCTGTATTAGAGCCCAAAGCTTGGAGACATATTCCCACATTGTTACCTTCATTTTCAATGATACATTTGAGAATCTGCTCCACCGTGTCCTGGTTCTCATCATTTTCATCTGAAGAAACAAAAACAGGAAACAAACAAATAAAAGCAACTCGCACCTCCATGAAAGAAATTAAATACAAACACCAGAAGTTTTAAACGTGGCCGATAAAAGACTGGATGCCAGTGTAGGGAGGCCAGCACTGGACTGTCCCCTTTCCTGGCTCCAGTGAGAAACCTGGCCTTGTCTATACTTTTAAAATTACAGTTTTTCTCTGCTCACCATCTTCATTTTCTCCAAGATTCTCCTCCGCATCATCTCCAATGTCTCCAGTTCTGCAGCGGTAGCCCTTTTTCTTTAGTAGGTGGCAGATGAGGAAGCCCAGGAGTCCAGTCAAGAAGAAAAGGAAGACCACCAGAAAGATCATGTAGGATGGGGGTGCATCCCCTTCTCCAGAAGCTTTTAATTCTGTCATAATGTGGCCCTAACCTGGGAGCAAGACAGAGATTCTATTAGATAATAATGACATCCTTCACCCTTTTTCGTTTGAGCTATTAAAGCACATCTGTCAGATACCCGCAGAGCATTTTTATGAGGCCCGCAAGACAAATATCAAAAATAAATTAAAACTGACCAGCTGGCCGATTTTACCGCAAAGACTACAACTCCCATGATGCTTTGCAGCGTTAGCTGAGCCAAAGCGCCCCCTCCTTTGTGTTTTTTCCAGCGTCTGCTGCCGGTGTCGGTACAGGATCTGCTCGGGTGCAAGATCGGCTCGGGGTCCTTCGACTGCCAATGACGTCAAAGTACAGAAACCCACTCGGACAAAATACACTACACATCTATACTGTTGGAAAGAATTTAGCAGTTTCGTTATTAAAATAATGTTTCTTAAGACGTAAGTTTGTGTTTATAATGGTATTTGTAAAATAAAACACTATATTGTATTCGTAATGTTGAACTCCTCTTTGAGCACATCCCTTGAAGAATCATAGGTATTAGCAACACCTGTGAAGTTGTATTTGCAGGAAAGAAGTGTGTCCCGTTTATTGAAGTATTTTGTGTTTAGAGTTTTTGACGTCTTGTCCATGTGTAGTTCAGGTACGCTCATACTGTAGCTGCTAGCCAAAACTCTGGAGTTAAAAGTTTTCTGGCTTTACTAAAATACCTGTCTGTACTTATTTGATTGATGGTAGTTTTACTTTCTATTAGACTCCAAATGTAATCATTTGGCACGTTTCTAATTCATAATTTGTAAGAATGTAATCGGTGATATTAGCATTAGCATTCATATGGGTGTTTCCATGTATATTAGCATTGCGCTAACCACTCGCTGCCAAATAGCAGCTTTTGCGATTAGAAAATCTCCTTTTGTCACATCGTAATTTAATTGCACATGCAGTTAATCGTTCAGCCCTAATATACATGCAGCTCTATGCTACAAATGTATTTTCAAAGAGGTAATGATGGATTTCTTTGTAAAAGTTGTCCATCTTTCCAACAGAAAAATTTACCTGGACTAACATAACGTGATTACGTAATTGCGTAAGGTTCATGTTCAGCCTATCAACTACTTTGACGTCATCGGCAGCCGACGGACGCCGAGCCGATCTTGCACCCGGGCAGATCTTGTACAGACACCGGTGTGTGCAGCTCGCTGTCTCGGACAAACTAAACACTCCTCTCACTAAGCACAGAGTTCACTCAGCTATTTTCCGACGTTGACGCCCAGAAACAGAGATTTTAACCGCTCAGTAATGTGTTCACGACTGAAAGAAAAAGTTTTCCAACTAACTTCCAGACAGTGCTGATATAACTCCAGCGAGCAGCGACAGGCACAAATCAGCATGACTCCGTGGCTGCTGTAGTTTTTATTTTTCCTCCGGTGAGCATCACAGTAAATCAGTGGAGCAAACTGAGCTTTAAATATGTTGGTTTTCTGCTCTTTTTCTGCTCCAAAACATGAAAGTTAACAGGTGAGATATTGCATTTTCGTTTAAGATAAAATGATATTTTTATTTTGTTGTTGGCCCGTGAGAAAAGATTTAACCTACAGTAAACAGGAAGTGGAAAGGCTGCAGATAGATGAATAGAATAGAAAATCCCTTTATTGTTCCTCAGTGGGGAAAGCTAGATGTCACAGCAGCGATGACACTTTTTACAGGAGAAAAAAAGGAGAATAAAAATAAGAAAAATGAATAAACAAGAAAACATAAATCCTGAATAGATTTTAAAAATGCTGAATATACCACAAGTAATGAATACCACTGATGTGTTTTATTTAAAACTGACTTGCTCGTGTGTATTTTGGTTATTCCACATTCAGTGTTAATGCAGAAATAAGTTTGTTTCCAAATTAAAAGGTTCAAAATTGCATATATGTTGATATGTTGATGTGCAAATTTGCCATCACTTTTTCAAAAAATATTACATTTGGCCCGCGACTTCGTCCCAGATTTTCATTTCAGCCCCGTGTGAGTTTGAGTTTGACTCCCCTGTATTAAAGCATCGTAGCATTAGGAAACGTCAGCTGTACAGGTGCTGGCCAGTAAATTAGAATATCATCAAAAGGTTGAAAATATTTCAGTAATTCCATTCAAAACGTGAAACTTGTACATTATATTCATGCAATGCACACAGACCAATGTATTTCCAATGTTCATTACATTTAAATTTGATATTTATAGGTGACAACCAATGAAAACATCAAATCTGGTATCTCAGAAAATTAGAATATTCTAAAGGCCAATGAAAAAATGTTTGTTTCTCTAATGTTGGCCAACTGAAAAGAATGAACATGAAAAGAATGTGCATGTATAGCACTCAATACTTAGTCGGGGCTCCTTTTGCCTCAATAACTGCAGTAATGCGGCGTGGCATGGACTCGATCAGTCTGTGGCACTGCTCAGGTGTTATGAGAGCCCAGGTTGCTCTGATAGTCGTCTTCAGCTCCTCTGCATTGTTGGGTCTAGCGTATTGCATCCTCCGCTTCACAATACCCCATAGATTTTCTATGGGGTTAAGGTCAGGCGAGTTTGCTGGCCAATCAAGGACAGGGATACCATGGTCCTTGAACCAGGTGCTGGTGGTTTTGGCACTGTGTGCAGGTGCCAAGTCCTGTTGAAAGGTGAAGTCTGCATCCCCATAAAGTTGGTCAGCAGCAGGAAGCATGAAGTGCTCTAAAACTTCCTGGTAGACGGCTGCATTGACCCTGGACCTCAGGAAACAGAGTGGGCCAACACCGGCAGATGACATGGCACCCCACACCATCACTGACGGTGGAAACTTTACACTGGACCTCATGCAACGTGGATTCTGTGCTTCTCCGCTCTTCCTCCAGACTCTGGGTCCTTGATTTCCAAAGGAAATGCAGAACTTGCTTTCATCAGAAAACATAACTTTGGACCACTCAGCATCAGTCCAGTCCTTTTTGTCCTTGGCCCAGGCGAGACGCTTCTTGCGCTGTTTCTTGTTCAAGAGTGGCTTGACACACGGAATGCGACACCTGAATCCCATGTCTTTCATGAGTCTCCTCGTGGTGGTTCTTGAAGCGCTGACTCCAGCTGCAGTCCACTCTTTGTGGATCTCTCCCACATTTTTGAATGGGTTTGTCGTCACAATTCTCTGCAGGGTGCGGTTATCCCTAGAGCTTGTACACTTTTTTCTACCACATTTTTTCCGTCCCTTCGCCTGTCTGTTAATGTGCTTGGACACAGAGCTCTGCGAACAGCCAGCTTCTTTAGCAATCACCTTTTGTGTCTTGCCCTCCTTGTGCAAGGTGTCAATGATTGTCTTTTGGACAGCTGTTAAGTCAGAAGTCTTCCCCATGATTGTGGTGCCTTCAAAACAAGACTGAGGGACCTTTTAAAGGCCTTTGCAGGTGTTTTGAGTAAATCAGCTGATTAGAGTGGCAGCAGGTGTCTTCTATATTCAGCCTTTTCAGAATATTCTAATTTTTTGAGATACCAAATTTGGAGTTTTCATTAGTTGTCACTTATGAATATCAAATTTAAATGTAATGAACATTGGAAATACATTGGTCTGTGTGCATTGCATGAATATAATGTACAAGTTTCACGTTTTGAATGGAATTACTGAAATATTTTCAACCTTTTGATGATATTCTAATTTACTGGCCAGCACCTGTATGTATGCCTCAATTTATGGCTAAGAATAAAAGGAGGTCATGGTTTAAAACTTTATGGTTCATGAGAAAAAAGCTAAAAATAAGACCTTTCATTCATTTCTGAATGTGTTTTCTTTAAAGGGACTATATCATCCAAAGTCAACTTTCTGTATCTTACTTATTGTTCTTTCCTCATCAAAAACACCCTCAAAGCATTTTTTGGTTTCATGCATGCATCCTGTCAGCTGCTGAAGCTCTTCAGCTGTGCTAAGCTGTTGAAAACAGCTGGGTGGAACAGGTTTGCATCATCTTGCGCTGCCCTGTGAGTTGCAGGAAGCAACTCTCGGCAGGTGTGAAGAAGTGATATGTTTCCTATCTAGTCTAGCCTAGAATGATGCCGTGGCATCAATATGATCTAACACTGACTGGTGAAGTATCAAATAATGAACAAGCAGGGCTGACAGCTCTTGCTAAAATCTAGGAGTGATTATTTTTGATGAAAAGTCTATTTTTAGCCATTTGAGGTTAAATTGTTTGATGCAAAGGCCCAGTGTGCTGTGATATGTGGAATAAATCTTATACATATGAATATAAATATATATATATATATATATATATATATATATATATATATATATATATATATATATAAATACCTGTCACAACCTCTTTAACCATCAAAGATGGTCGTCAAAACCTTTTTGCACATACAAAGCTGAGACAGCAAACCGTTCCTGCAGAACAAAGCTGATATTATTATTAGACTCCTTAAGAGTCCTCCAGGCGCACGGTTCCATCCAGCTGTTGTGACCCGAGACATCTCTGGACTGAAGAGTCGGTACCACGGTATTCTACAGCCCTCCGGTGCCAGCGGTCAGCCGACCCCTGCGACTTTCGGATCCACCAAGAGGGTCTCTCCAAAACGGGTGACGTAGACATGACAGATTGTGTCTGATGTGTTTATGAAAGATAACAACTTCATAGTTTAGAGCAAACCAAATTCTTTTTCATCCGCAGACGCCGCTTTCCGAGATTCAGAAGTTCTGACCTACATCACATTGACACATAGCCTTCATCACATTTAGCTCCATCCAATCACAGAAAATGCTTAGTTCACTTATCGTTATAATTGTAATAAAATAATTTTTTACTTTTATAAACCTGACTCTTTTCTGAATCAAAACGAAGTGTGTATAATTACTTAATAAAGCAAAAATCCTAGAATCTTCTGATTAAGCCCTATAATCTTCTAATATTTACAATAAAGATCAAGGAAGGTAATATTTTATATTTATATAGAATATCAAATCTTCCTGGTCATAAGTACAAATCAATAATCCATTTGCCACCTCTACACTAGGGACCCCCTGTATTTTACCACTCCCTCCTGCAGTCTTCCCCTGTTAAAATGTAAAATGATTCTGTAAATTTGTGTATCAATAGATAAAATATCTGCCTCTGCTACCTGCAGTAAATGTAGGGAAGACTGACTCGTTTTCCAATTTCCAAATAATAAGAGGTGCATTCATCTGTATCTCCTTTGATCCGCAACAGTGAAGCGAAGAAACAGATTCCTGAGTTTATGTTAGTAATTTTATTTATTAGATGCATCTGACCTGTTCTATTTTTCTCTGAAATGAGATCAAATCAGTGCTTCTATGGGTTGTCTCCCCTCTGCACTAGAAAGTGTTACTTTATTATAATGTTCACTGTAATGCATCTTGATGCTCTTAACAAATAAATTAAATCAAAGATATTGGTCAATAATACTAAATATGTATATTTGTGTTTCAGTCATTTTTGTACTGGCTTAAAAATACTTCATTAAGTCTACTAAGCAGGGGTGTAGAACGTGTTTAATAGGGCCAGCCCAGTAATGATCTTGGACCAAAATAAAGGGGGCAGAAAGTCAAATAAAGGGGGGCAGAAGGAGATGTTTTTCCCAGACGCCAAGAAAAATTAAATGCCACCCCCCAAGAATGGCTCTGCAGAAAACCACAACAGCTAAAAACACCTGAATGTTGACAGACAACATCTATGGAAACTCAGACAATGAAAGTTGTACATATAGATAAATCAATACAAGTGTAACCGGGTCACCTTAGTTCCCGGAAGTTATTCTGGTTATACCTGTCATGCCGCTGACAGGGGATCCAGGTGTGTAATCAGAGGGCTGCTATAATTAGGGCAGCTGGGGTCTAGCTGCAAACGCTGAATGCTTCGCTTTGGGTGCGGACGTGCGTGCGGCTAAGTGGTGAGTGACCTGGCTTTGCTTCAGTTTAGTTAACGGTTATATTTTTAATTGGTTCCTCTTTACGAAGGGTGAGCAGGACTGAGGGGTGAACAGCCGGAATTTTCATTGGCAAGCGGTCGGCCGATGAGGTACTGGTTTATAACATTCACAGCATTTTTATGTTTCGTTAGAATAGGACTAACAATGCGTGTTTTGTTCACAGACCTTAGCCTGCTACTGTTTTTTTCCAGTTCCTTTTATTAAATCTTTTCTAGTTATTTTATTAAACCGTTTACCGGTTTTATCTTATTATTAATCGTTTTCTCCAGAGGGGGAAGGAAGTAAACTTGTTTGAGTCGGGTGGTTAGCGTTAAGCACAGTGCTGTCTCTGGGAGGCTAGTTTCTTTTAGCGTATCCGCTGTAGGGGTTTGTCGGGGGTTTTATTCACTTCTGGGTGACGTGTGTATGAGCTTTAGTTAAAGGGAGCACTGAGTGTTTTTCTTTATATTATTGTCTCTTGTCTCGGGTCCCTACAGCGGCTTTGTGCTTTTAAATAATAGTTGGATGGCGTTGCGTGTGTAGTCCCAGGGCCAGCATTGTCGTCGCTCTTCCCTCCCGTGTTTTAGAGTTTGTTAGTCTACTATTTATCCCGACCTGGGTTGTCTTTAAATCTCCTGTGTTGTATCCTATAAATAAAAATTGTTAAGCTTGTGAATAAGCCTCTGCTGTTTTCATCAAGGGTTATTATCACCTACGGTTTTAGGATCTTAAGCATCCAACCCTCTAGGTCACAACTGGCATTGTTGGCAACTTTTTGAAAAAAGTAGATGTGCTGTGGAGATACTTTAAAACAGCTGGTTTACTGAATAGATCGGGTGTAGGAGTAGTTTTCTGGAATTTTTTTTTTCTTTTTTTCTCTTTCTTCTTTTCCCTCTGTTTTTTTTCTCTTCTTTAACTGGAACAGTAGCAGGTTTAGGGTGGAGCCACAAGCCTCACGGAAAGTGGTGTAGAGCTGAGCGACAGGACACGTGGATCAAGGCACAATGGATGCTGAGCTACAGGAGCTACGGAGCAAGCTGCGACGGCTGCAGGAGGAGAATCAACTTCTGCGAGAGACAAATGAGGATAAACAAGACTCACAACCCTCTACATCAGGTGGCACATGTCATGCAGAAAGGGAATCAGCCACAGAACGGATTCTCTACATTCCGAGGGAACGAAAGTGTCCCGTCTTTAGAGGTAATGTTGGGATTGGAGTGACTGATTGGATAGAGGAGGTCCGGGCAAGCCTGAGGGCAAGGTATTTATCTCCTTTGGATCAGGCTTACTTTGTGTATGATCACCTTGAAGGGGAAGCAAAGGAGGAGATTAGATATAGGCCCCGGGCTGAAAGAGAAGACCCTGAATGCTTTTTGACTATTTTACAGGAACTGTATGGGTGCTCAAAATCTTACGTGACTCTGCAGGAAGATTTCTTTTCTAGAAAGCAAAAGGAGGGGGAATCATTACAGGAGTTTTCACATGCTCCTTTCTGTCTGATGGAGAAAATAACTGTAAATGCACCTGGTGTTGTGTCTGATGCTGCTGTGCTCTTACGAGATCAATTTACTGAACATGTGCTTGAGCCATCTTTACGTAGAGAGTTAAAAAAGCTCGTTCGGGGAAACCCTACTCTTACATTGCTGGACGTAAGGAAAGAGGCTATACAGTGGGAACAAGAGGGTCAGCCAGCTGATGTAAGAAGTAGAAATAACCACCTGACATCTTTTTGTGCTGTGCAGAACTCCCGAAGTAACAGATCTGCCTCAGAGTCGGTCCCAAGGGCCTCAGACGGTCTGTCAGAGATCAAGGAAATGCTGGTAAAACAGCAGGAACAGATTAACCTGTTGTCTCAAAGTTTGTTGCAGCTACAAGGGCCTTTTGGGTCCCAACATCTAAACCGAGCATCCCAGATTATCTGCCGACGTTGCCAGAAGCCTGGTCACATAGCCAGGAACTGTCGCCAAAAAAGGGCTACTGCATCACAGCCTGGTAGAGAGGAGATGGTGGTCTCCCACCAGCAGATGGGAAACTAGCCCCTTCTGCTTTGCAGGGCCTCAGGGCAGAAGGAGGGGGATTTGGTCCAAAGATTCCTAGTGTGACAAGTTCGGTGTCAAAACTGGTAGGAGAGTGTCCCACGGTTCTGGTGCAAATGGGGGGTGTTCCACTTCAGTGTCTTCTAGATACATGTTCTATGGTGACCACTGTTACACAGAGTTTTTTTAACCAACATTGTCAAGGGGCCTTGCAGGCATGTTCTTGGTTGGAGCTTCATGCAGCCAGTGGGCTGAGCATCCCTTATGTTGGTTATTTTGAAACTGATCTAGAAGTTTTAGGTAAAGTGGTACCTAGGAGAGGGGTGCTGGTGGTTGAGGATCCCCTGCCCCATTCTTCCCAATTGAAAGTGCCAGGGGTATTGGGCATGAATGTCATCAAGGAGTGTTATGATGAGCTTTTTAAGCAACATGGTGCTGCTCTGTTTGAGCTACCAGGACTCAAGTCAGGCTGCTTCTGCGTGGCGTGTGGCTTTTCTAAAATGTCAGGAGGTTTCAGTACAACAAAGTGACTCCAAGATGGGTCTGGTCCGAGTAGGGGGTCGCAAACCAGTATGTGTGCCGGCTGGCACAGTAAAGCTGGTTCCAGCGACATGCCCGCGAGCCAGGCTTGGCCCTCCATATGGCGTGTTCGTAGAGCCACTTGGAACAAAAGGGGGCATCCCGGGGGGGGCAGTGGTGTCACAAAGTTTGGTAACAGTGGCCAGAGGCAGCACATATATCCCAGTTATGAACGTGAGTGAAAGGGATGTGTGGTTGCGTCCTCGTACGCCAGTAGGGATGTCTGGTCCAGCCCACATTGTCAGTTTACCAGAAGGGGTGAGGGAGGGGGTTGGATCAGTCCAGGCTACTCTCTCTTCCCAGGTCAGCTCAGTGTCCCAACAGTCAGACAAAATGGTAAATGTTGACTTATCATCTATAAGCAGTGGGGATCAGGAAAGGGTAATACATGTTATGCTTGATTACTGCTATTTTTGTTCATGTACATTTACATTTTCTATTCAGAAATTTCTGAAAACAAAAATCAAATGCTTTTGTTATTACAGTTATAACATACTGTTTTGGTTTAAAACCCCAATTATGAACCACACACCAGCTTTAAAAGTTAATAGTCCAATAAAACCAGAGTTATACTTAAAATAATTAAATCTCAGACTATCAGAAAGATTGTGATCTCGACCACTGTTTTGATACAGGAATCTTTAATCAACTGTTGTTGTACTTGTTCACATGTAGCCCCTTTACTATGGTATGTGTGATGGGAACACCCCTCCCAGGGTGGAGGTCTGCACTCTGACTGCTTCCTAGTTTTTATTAGTTAGTTATATTTCTTGAGTGTGTTTAATTTTAATACGGTACCATGTTTTGCTTGCAATTTGTGACAATTCATGGTGTGTTTATAGCTCATCAATCGCAGTTTGTCAAAATAGGGGGGCCCAGAACAATATCTTGCATAGGGCCCCTACATTGCTAGAAACGGCCCTGGTCTGAATACTTTCCGTACCACTGTATTTAGGACGGCCTGCCAGGCTACTGGGCATCAGGGGTCCAAGGAAACAGGCCTGCTCTCATTGGCTGCAATCACACCCCTCACTCTGCTTCACATAAATAATTCCATGTCAGATCAGGGATTAGTCAGAATGATGTGTTGGGATTTACGTAAACCTGATATGAAGTGGTCCATTTCATTTATTAAGCACATAGAGCTTTCCTAACAAACCTGGCTCACTGTTACTCATTCAGCGCACAATGGAGTGAAAATAGAAATTGTTTAGTCGGAGAGTTTTACTTCTGTGGCACGAATCCCAGAGAATTAATAACTGATTTTATTTGAAGTTGGTCCTCTTTCCGTTTTTGAAAAACACACTTTTTTTCCGCAAATGAAACCGTAGCATGGACAGTAAGAATGACAAAAGCTTCACACCCACACATTTGAACTGCTACTGAAGCTTAAATGAAAGTTTTTTTCGACAGAATCTGATTTTTTACATGACTGTAAACTGTATTTACCTATTTACTGATTTCCAAAGTGGTTTAGCATCTTCACTCATTTGCTTATATCATATATGCCAAAAAATGCACACAGGCACCATAATAGACTTTTAAAAGTAAAAAAAAATATGTTTTCCTTACCAGTCTGCTGCCTGTCGGAGAAATCCTCATGTGAACATGAGCAGTAAAACACAATCAGATTCACTGGAGGCCAAACACACAACTGTGTGGGATGGATAAGAAGCCAAAAGCAGACCTAACAGTGTTCTCCATCAGAGGAATGAAATATTAATCACCAAATACTTTCCTTAACTCAACCGCCTGTCTCCTCAGACCATAGCTCAGAGATGAAGTGATGAGTGATGAAAAATAACAACAAAAAAATTCTGGAAAATGTGTCATTCTCCACCAATCTTAATATATTTAACAGACTATAAAACCAAGCTGACACAGGCATCAGCACCTGTGGCTCTGGTAGTTATCCAACAGTAGAAAATGTGGAAATATAATAGCAATTACTCTGAAATGAAAGTAAACATGTACATGGTAATAATATGTAATAATACATCATGTCCTCAAGCCTCTTTATCTGCATTCAAAGACACACGCACACGCACACACACACACACACACACACACACACACACACACACACACACACACACACACACACACACACACACAGCCTCTTATCTGTACCAGTCCCTCAGACATATTCTGGGGTGTGACTGAACAGTGATAACACACTATCAGCACCCACCACTCAACATCTGCCAAACAGGTCACATGTGGTGTTTTATGTGTTTTTTCTCAGCACTAATTAGCACTGAGCTACAGAATATTAAGACGTACAATATGACAAAGGGAAGATATAATCACTATGTCATGGTCTGTGTCTCTATATTGTGTCTTCTGGTTGTAGGTCCTCATATTATCCCTTCAGGTACGGTGTTTCATTTAGTCATCCTCTGCCTCCTCCAGTCTGTAGCTCCAGCCTTGTCCCCAGCTCAGTGTGTGTGTGTGTGTGTGTGTGTGTGTGTGTGTGTGTGTGTGTGTGTGTGTGTGTGTGTGTGTGTACGTGTCCTGCCCAGTTAGTGTTTGTGTGTGTGTATGAGTGTATATGTGTGTGTATTATGTCCTCCTCCAGATAGTTTGTGTGAGCCTTTCCCTCAGTCTTTAGGTTTAAATATTGTATTTTAGGGTTATCTGCCATTCTCTATTATGTTCCCCCATTTAGATTATTATCGTCACCTGCCTTCCCTCCAGCAGCTCGCTCCGCACACCTGCTGCCTGTTTTCCTGATTGCCTCTCCCAGTCTATTTAAGCCCTGTCTTGTCTTTGTCTTGTGTCGGTCCATTAATGTTTGTTTGTAATCCTGTCAGTCTCGTTCTCCCTTTTGGATTATTAGAGTTTTTTGGTCCTCTTGTGTTCTCTAGAGTTTGTGGATTTTGGCGCCGTGCCTTGGATTTATTTATTTTTTTGTTTTTGCTCACCTTATAAATAAAGGATTTTTATTTATTCAACCATCTGCCTTGTGTCATCCTGGGTTTCTGCATTTTGGGTCCAACCATCCCCTCAGCGTGACACACTGCCTTCACTGAAACTTCACTTTTGAAGTTTATTGGTAGAAGACTCATGGATTAAAAATTGATGATTCACATTAACATTAATTTCTCTGTTGAGCTGCGTTTCCATGTCAAAATGTTTTGCAATCAGTTTCCTCCACAGAATGTTGCTAATAACTGACGTAGATTGCCTGCCAGTGTTTTCAAAGAAATTCTACAAATCATTTATAATAAATTCTAGCCATGCCAGTGCTTTGTTATGGGAAGCAAAGCCCCCCCCCCCCCCCCCCCCAATAAATAAATAAAAACACACCCTGAGAATTGTAACTGAGCCAATCAGCGCCGAGCAGCATATGTTACACAACACTATGCTGAGATGCACTGCGACTCTTTCCTCTGTTCTAAATGGCCTGGACGCGTCTTTAAAACCAGAAGAAGAAGAAGCGCTAAAAGCCTTTCTTCTGAAGAAAGACGCCATCTTTGACTACAGCTAAAAAACTACATCATCGCACGATACAGTCGTCATTTCTGCCTTTTCTTCTGATTGGTTATTTTTTAGCTGGCTAGTCCCGCCCCTCATGGTGTTCTCTGCGGCCCAATCACAATACTCGCACTGCACCCTACAGTCTTCTGTGAAGTACACTTGGACAAAGTGCACAGTAAGTATTCAAGCGCGTAGTACACAAGTGTGCAAATTATTGCCAAATCGGGACAGGGAGCCTTGCGTCATCGACTGCATTGAGACACGCTGCTGGCTAGAGAACCCCTTAAAACTTCCCCCGGAGGAGCTGGCCCAAGTGAAAGGGAAGTCTTCCCTGCTTAGGCCACTGCCTCCGTGATCCGTCCCTGGATAAGTGGCCGAAAATGGATGGATGGATGGCTCTTGAGCCTTTTCTCCTGCAGCAATGGATTGTGATGCGGATCAAGGGTGCAAAAGCGGCGTGATCAACTTCCACACTTGAGATTCGGGACGCCCTACGCACTCGCACCCCTGGCCTGGATCACGCAGCTGAAGGGCACAAGTGTTGGGGTTGGGTCTACGTATCCAGACTCAATCTCTCTGTAGAATAGACAGAGGGCGTGTCTGGCAGGCTAAATAATTCCCCATGTGCACAGCTTGCCATCAGCCCAGAACCTAAAAACATCTTCACTTTTTAGCAAAATGCACTTTTGCCCCTTATTTTGCTCAAATTTATTTAAACGATATAGGATCTGCAACAATAATACCAACAGTATTTAAACCCTGAATGTATTAGTAACATGCATTCATATTTTTTCTGGTAGTAATTGGCCACCGGTGCTATAGCGTAGCTCATTTATAACTGTTCTGCTACGAATATTGATATAATATTTATGTACATGGATAAAACATTTTTGTACACATTTTTCTTTATTTCTTTTTGTATGTTTTCAACTTATTGCGTTTTTTACGTGACAAAAAGGAATCCAGTTTGGATCTGAATAATTTGATCTGGCTTAAAATGACTATTTCCTTCTTATATAATTTATTACACACACACTGTCTGTCCCCCGCTGCATCGCCGTGTCTGAGGGAGGGACAGAGAGGCTGATTCTCCGCCTTTCTGCAACCCCAGAAAAGGAAATTATCATAATAAAACGATGCTGACGTGAAAACGCAACTTATCTTTCAAAACCCGTAAGAATTCTCTTCACAGCGAGACCGTGGGGGAACTACGATAAACCAGTGAGCATGTCAAATGTGTCAGAGTGTTAACGTGAGAAAAACATTCAGGTGGACCAGAAAAATGCCCACTTCTCACCTTAGATTAGTTCTTGCATTAACGTGATATATTTTAGTGTTTTGATGGTTTGATGTCATTTCCTGTTGAGTGTGTAAATGTTAAAGGGTTAAACTGTTGAGTCATCACCTGAGCATGATAGGACAAGTCAAGTCAGGACAGGACAGGTCAGGTCAAGACAGATCAGAACAGGTCAGGTCAGCAAGGGACAAGACAAGACAAGACGGGAGAGGTCCACACAGGTCAGGTCAGGACAGGGCAAGTCACGACATAACAGGTCGGGACAGCAAACAAGTCAGGACAGGACTGCTCAGGTCAGGACAGATCAGATCTTTTTTTTTTTTTTTTTTTGGGATCAGATCAGGAAAGGAAAGGAAAGATCAGGACAGAACAAGACAGGACAGGATAGGACAGATCAGAACAGGTCAGGACAGGACAGGACAGGTCAGATCAGGACAGAACAAGACAGGACAAGGTCAGGACATAACAGGTCAGGACAGGATAGGACAGATCAGAACAAGTCAGAAAAGGATAGGACAGGACAGGACAAGTCAGGACAAAACAGGACAGGACAGAAAAGGACAGGACAGATCAGAACAAGTCAGGTCAGGAGAGGACGGTCGGATCAGGACAGAACAAGACGGACGAGAGGACAGGACAGGTCAGGACAGGATAAGTCAGGTCAGGTCAGGGCAGAACACGACAGGACAAGTCAGCACAGGTCAGGACAGATTCAATTTTTTCTATTCTATTCAATTCAATTTTATTTATATAGCGCCAAATCACGACAAGAGTCGCCTCAAGGCACTTCACATAATAAACATTCCAATTCAGGTCAGTTCATTAAGCCAATCAGAAATTTTTTTTCCTATATAAGGAACCCAGCAAATTGCATCAAGTCATTGACTGGTGTCAGTGACTATACAGCAATCCTCATACTAAGCAAGCATAAAGCGACAGTGGAGAGGAAAACTCCCTTTTAACAGGAAGAAACCTCCAGAGAATCCTGGCTCAGTATAAGCAGCCATCCAACACGACTCACTGGGGATCAAGAAGACAGAGTAGACACACACACACACACACACACACACACACACACACACACACACACACACACACACACACACACACACACACACACACACACACACACACACACACACACACACACACACACACACACACACACACACACACACACACAGATCAGGACATAACAGGTCAGGTGTAACGGAATGAAATGACTGTTTTTTCCCTCCTCTGCACAAGACTAGTCTGCATGAGATATGGGCTGTGTCTCAATTCAGGGTCTGCATCCTTCGAAGGACGCAGCCCACCCAGCCGACGTGGGCTGCGTCTTCCGTCGGCCGGGTAGACCGGATGTTAACGGCTGTGAATTTGGACAGGCCTAGCCTTCATGAACTCCCTCGGCGAACGTTCCGTCGCCTAGCAACCGTGGAACCGCTGGGCAGAAGGGAGAAGGAACTTTAAACGATGGAGCTCGACGTTTTATTTAGCTTTGTAACCCCCAGAAACCCAAATTTAGAAAACAACTGCAAAATCTTTTTTTAACCTTTCACATGTTGTTCTAGGAGACCAGATAAACGGGCCTATTTACACATTTTAACAGCCAATAGTGTTGCAGAACTGAACAATAGGACCTATTAGCAATGTAAATGTGGTTTTAAAAAGAAAAAAAAATGGGGAAGGTTTATTCTTGTAGACTTAAATCTGATGTTGTAATATTACAACCGTGGGTCTTTGGGGGTTAATCATTTCCTTGACTGTTGGAGAGCTAATTCAGAGAAAATACTTTAGACAAGCTGAGCCTGAGCAAAGATGTGATAATAGTTTTTAATACTTTCTAAGGGTCTTGATTTGACCAAAACCAATTTATCACCTTTTAAGACTTTTCAAGACCCAGCGGATACCCTCTAGTAAACAATTCTCATTTGTAAACAAAAATAAAATTCAAGAGTTTAATGCAGAACTGATTTTATTTAGATATTTCTTTTATATGTACATGTTTAATCTTCCTTAACCATTTTTTTCTAGCAAAGTAAAAAGCTGTCAAAGTTCTTCCTTCTCTCCTGTGCCCTCTGCAGCCTCATGTCCTCCCAGATCAGCTCCAGGAGCTGATCATCGCTGGCACCTTCCCCTGGATGCCCATTTTCTCCAGAATAGTCTTAACAAACGTGTAAGAAAAAACAGATAGAGAAAAGAGGACAACGGGTTATTCCTTTCATGTTTTCGCAGAAAAAAATAAACTCAAACGAGTTATTTAAAATATGAGATGTTATTGTACCTCCATGCCACAGCCGCCGAATACTTTGCTCCGGTGATCATGTGGTCCATCTCCGCCCTAAGCTTAATAAATTCCCTGGTTTTCTCTTTTGTTCCTAAAATACAAACTTCTATTAAAATCAGGGGGAAAACGTAGCGGGAGAAGTACGACACCGAGCGCGGCCGAACATACGAGCCGACACCGCAATACAAGCACTTTTACTGTTACATTTCTAACTAAAATAACGTTCATGTATCACAAAAAGTCCTTAACCTAACAGTTTTCAAGTTTATACTGACATTTATGTGCGCAATCCTCTCCGACAGCTCCCGCTTCACTGTCCGCCATTGTTTTTAAGTTTTTCTGCCGGCCGGCCCGCAAGGCATCTTGGGAAATGCTACCTGTTGAAGGATACACCCGACCCATCCTTCATTTAGGCGAAAAGAAGGCCGCATTCGTCGACCGCATTTGAAGGAGTCTTCGAATTGGGCAGGGGCGGCTTTAGGCCCGGCTACTTGGGCTCAAGCCCCAAGTGTTAGTCAATAAATAAGATGTGACCGATCTGTGAAATCAAAATATTAATTACTTAATTATAATCCTGTAGAATATGACGGTACTATGAATTTAAATGTTCCAACAGGACTCATTTCATGTAGCGTTAAAAGACATAACACATTCCTTTCACTGAGCCAATCAGAATCTGACAGATCTGACGGAGGCGTGGTTTTGGTGGTGTTTGGTAATGTTTCATTCGACAATAAACCAAAACATCCGAAGTATAAAACTATGCCACGTCATCTCTCACGCCAGTTCAAAGCGTTCCAGAGAAAGTGACGGAGTGGCCAATCCTGATCTATACTCTTCAACCAAAAGAACCACGACAAGCTGAAAAATGCGTTGCTGTTCCAACTGGGGCAACAGTTCCTTTCAGAATAAAAGCTCAACCATCAAGACCCAGGCTTGGGTCTCACCAGACGCCAACAAATTGTCGCTACCCAGAAGTAACTCACAGACTGGACTGGTCGGCACCGCTGCTTTTCCTACCGGCTCGGTTCCAGAGAAAGGCAAGCTCGACCTCGACATTCCTGATCTAAAGAGGACTTCCTGAAGGGTAGGTAGACCGGCATGATGGTGTCTCATGTGTTTATGAACCTCCTAACCAAAGCTTAATGCTAAGACATCACCTTCAGTTCCCATCAGAACAAATCGCTGGTTCTGATTTAACGTCACACGTCATCCATTCGCCGTCTCATCCACTTTAGTTACACCATACATTTAGTTTTAACGTCAGTCTAGTTTAATTTCTAATAAAATTCTTAACATTTAAACTTGACTCTCTCTCTTCTGTTGTCTCTGAGTGAATACGAAGCTGTTATCTAATCCCTGCAATAAAAAGTTCCGATCTTCTGGTTTAAATAACTCACAGATCCGTAAGGTGGATTTCATATTGCCTATGGAATCCTACGCCTTATGGCCTTTTAAATAACATGTAATCTAAATCATTACACAGGACAGGACAAGTCAAGACATAACAGGTCAGGACTGGTCAGGTCAGATCAGGACAAGTCAAGACATAACAGGTCAGGACTGGACAGATCAGATCAGGACAAGTCAAGACATAACAGGTCAGGACTGGACAGATCAGATCAGGACAAGTCAAGACATAACAGGTCAGGACTGGACAGATCAGATCAGGACAAGTCAAGACATAACAGGTCAGGACTGGACAGATCAGGACAGGACAAGTCAAGACATAACAGGTCAGGACAGGTCAGGTCAGATCAGGACAAGTCAAGACATAACAGGTCAGGACTGGACAGATCAGATCAGGACAAGTCAAGACATAACAGGTCAGGACTGGACAGATCAGATCAGGACAAGTCAAGACATAACAGGTCAGGACTGGACAGATCAGATCAGGACAAGTCAAGACATAACAGGTCAGGACTGGACAGATCAGGACAGGACAGAAAGATGAATCTTCTCAGATTTTTGTGATTTGGTGTAGAAATCAAATCTTGTCCAGAACATGAGTAAATAACAAATTCTACAGTTATTATCTTTAATTATGCTGAGACATGAGACAGCATTGATGTGTTTCTGGTCCCAGTTTAGTCAAGGTCCCAAACTGGACAGTATGGTTCTGGTCCTGGTTTTGTGTGCCTCTGACAGTCTGATCATGGGCCATCAGCATGAGAACAATCTGCCTGACTTCCTGTGGGAAACCAGTGAACTTTGATGGGATAAGGGGTAGCTTCAGCGCTGCAGCATGACGCACGGATGCAGCCTCGTGTGTGTGTGTGTGTGTGTGCGCGCGCGCGCGCGCGTTACCAACCCGGGTCCTTCCCTACATGAGTCTGCCGGATGCTGAATGACCGAACCGAGCCGAACCGACCAGTTGGGTCATCAAGTCTGTGAACTGAGTGACATCGGATCCAGAACAATTGGATCACATCAATGCAAAAACGCAAAACGCGACTTTTCTAAACGGAGTTTGGCTCGGCTCAAATACTGCATCATCACCCCGCCCGCTGGAAACTCCCAGAACCGAGCAGATGATAAACATCACCCCCAGTGGAGGTGAAAGCCACGGCTTTTTCAGCACTTACCCCGGTTAGAAGACCGACGCTGTCCCCCGCTTCATGGCTGCAGCATGTCCTCGGTCCTCTGGACGGAACAGAGGTCAGCCTGCAGAGGACAGGAAGCTGGGAGGATCTGGAGGTGAGCTCGGGCTCCTCACGATGCAGATGAAACGTCTGAGGATCCGGAGTGATCCGGTCAGCCTACAGAGCTGCAGGGATGTTCAAAACAGCTGACCCAGCAGCACACACCCGAACCAGCACCAGCTCCTCAGTGGGACTTCCAGGACACATCCTTGGAATAAAGTCCCCTCAATATTAAAATAACGTCCAGGGAAGCAGCAGCACCCGTTACTGTCCCTTGGAGTTCCCCACAGATGTTCCCTTTTGTCCCCTTGGTCCTTATACACAGGTTTGTCTGAATTTTCAGACCTTTTAACCATATTATGGAAGCCCATTCCCGCCACTCAGAAAAAAATATATATATATTATCTCATAATTATGACTTAGCTAGCTCATTATAATGAGATACTTTCTCATAATTATCACTTAACTATCTCATAATTATGATGTAGTATCTCATAATTATGACTTAGTAACTCATAATTATGAGATAGCTAATTATCTCATAATTATGAGATACTATCTCATATGACTTAGCCATCTCAATATGAGATAGGTAAGTCATAATAATGAGATAGTGTATCATTATATTCAGATGGCTAAGTCATGATTATGAGATTTTTTTATCTGAGTGGCGGGAATGGGCTTCCATAATCATGAATCAGATCAAGTTACAGTACAACATTTATTATCCATGTTGTTTATAGTTTGGATCCCATTAACAGCCAAAATGAACACGCTACAACTTCTTAAAGGGACATGATACGTTGCCAACCTACACACATCTTTTCTTTTTTTTTATTATCATATTTATTGACATGGGAAAAATTATCTTGATAAGAGTCAAAAATTTCGATAACGATACATTTTCGATTTATTGCCCAGCCCTACCTCAAGGTCAAACCTTCTTTGCAAAACTGAAAAGTAGCAAAACTTCATCTGACTGCCAGCATTCAACCTGAGGGCATCCCAGACCAGCGGTTCTGTATTCGAGGTGGATCTACGTGCTTTGATACCACAGAAGTCAACTCCATTTGCAGTCTGTCCGTACCAACTTCTCCGGCCCCTGGATCGCCAGGAGCACTCAACCAAAGAGTTTGTAGATTCTGCACAACTGGTATGGATGGTATTATTAATTGATCGTTTGTTAAATCATACAGTCAGATTTATTTTACAACCCAGACATCACAATTTTCTAAGACACTTAATTAGGGTTTGCTACGTAACATAAGCTCCAACGTTCAACTGGGAGGAGACCAAAGGGAAGACCCAGGGCATGGATAGATGGATGGCTGGAAAATGTGAGGAGCCATCTGAGAGCCAAAAGAGCTGGTTCGTTTTAGTGAGCCGACCCGTAAGAAGTAGATCTCTTGAAAGAGCCGGAGTTAGTTCCCATCACTTTTGGGTGTACCTGGGTACTAGCCTGGCTGGGAAAGGTGAGCTGGATCAAACCATTTTTGAGGTGGGAGAGGTTTGCTGTGATTTTATTGTTAAAATATAACGTTTGAACCAAGCACTGTATGGTTTTCAAATTTTATTAGTGTGTTTAAAAAAAGCAAATAGTAAAAACAAGTGTTTTAAATTCTCTCATTTTAAGGGTTCTGGAATTCAACTTCAACAAAAATTGTCTAAAACGCTTATGGTACAATCTATACCGATGGGCTTCATGCCAGAAGAATGACGCAATGCATCGCAGAGTTGCACTTATTAACTCAACCACTGCATATATATATGTATGGTAAATAAATGTTGATGATCTTTACTGCAGTGGAAAAGCGCTTTAACTTTGAAAAGTCTAACCGGATGTAATTTAAACTTACACCGGAAGCAGTAGGCGCAGCTTTAGCTACACAACAGTGGGCCGTGAGTTCAACAGCGAAATTAGCTTTTGTTTTCGGTTTTTTGGAGTTGACAGCTGAGTGATGACTCGTCTGGTGATCTCCGGGGCAGAAATTTAATTGAATTTATTGACCTTAAAGCAGTCGGAACGGTAGGTCGCCTCGGCCTGGACTGGAAGTCGCTGCCGATCCTCCTCCAGGTAGTGTACCTGAGATAGAGTCACCTGTCTGTGCTGTATCGGTCCGACCTAGTCTGGGGGGATTGGGGTATAAACGGGGCCAGAAACATCTCAGGTAGTTGTGGAGTGAGAAGAGGCTACGGCGCTAGCCGAGCTAGTCTCCTATTTCCGGTTTTGACCGTGTGAGCAGTGTCAGTCACGGTTCGGTAGGGTCCGGTTCGGTAAGTCAGCAGTGACCAGCTCCATATGTTTCTGGTAACACAGCTGGCTCGAGTCCCGACTGGGCACGCCTGTGTGGGCTTATGTTGGGTTTACTCCGGGCTCCTCCCTCAGTCTTGTATCAAACAGGTGACCTGGATGTCCTCGGGTTTGTCTGTGCGTGGTCCTCCGATGGACGTGGAGTCTTTATATAGTTATCTAACCAAGTTAGTCCCAGCACATGTCAGTTCTATTAGTTTAGGTATTTATAACCATCGTTTAACCAGGAGGTGTTAGTTTAGTGAAGGGCATTTAAAGGATGAACAGCATTGGCACAAAGTGGGCCGAGTGTTTAACCACAGTTCAGATGGATGTACCGAGTTCCTACATGTAATAAATGATGTTAACCGGCCATCAGGGAGGATGTTCCCATAACCAATAAACAACAGATAGACCGAGACACCGGGGTACTCGGATACAAGTCACAAAGGGCCACATTAAACATTTTCAACGAGTCGTGTCATTTGTCAGTCATCGCACCTTAATAAATGAACTTGACCACAACTAGCCTTCAATCTAAACAGCAGCAAGCACACGTGCAATGTCCATGTAGTAATACATTCAAATGAGTAAAACTATTCAGTTTTCTGCATTTATTATTCTGTCACAAAGTTGTTTAGTCAGACCACCAGCCAGTGTTGCTGCTGTGGTCTGAGAATGGGATCTTTAGCTGTCGTTTCCAGTTTGTTTGCCTTCAAACATGCTTTCATCACTTCAGTCACACATTCATTTATCATTCAGGACCATGTCATATTTTAGTTTGTCTTTTTTATTGCAGAAATTTATAAAATTCTGATTTTTTTTTCAGTCAACATGAGGTGATGTGTGTACGTTAATGAGGAAAAAACGAATTTAGTTGATTTTAACAAATGGCTACAATAAAACAGAGTAAAAAATCAATGAGGGTCTGAATACTTTCCATACCCACTGTGTGTGTGTGTGTGTGTGTGTGTGTGTGTGTGTGTGTGTATGTGTATGTGTGTGTGTGTGTGTGTGTGTGTGTGTGTGTGTGTGGAAACATACAAGGCATTAATACTTACTAGAACCCACTGCAAATGTATGTTTTAAACATTAATCAGACTAAAACAAAACGTCTGTGCCTGCTCTTTCTTGTGTAGGGGTGTGTGTTAAGCCACCACAATGGCAGGAACCCAGTGGGAACTCCCCCCTGAGTTGTGCTGCCGGCCCCTGGCTTTTGTGGCTTTAACTGGTCTGGATGTGGTCTTCAATGCGGTGCACCGAGCCATCTGGGATGCTTTCTGTGCCAACCGCCGTGCTGACAGGGTCCCTATCTCCTTCAAAGTTCTTCCAGGAGACCACGAGTATCCCAAATGTCGTTCCAAGGTCTGTAAAGGTTCTTCATCACACATACATTAACGTAATTCCCAAGTGTTCCCAACCAGTGGCTTAGACTGAAATATTTCACATGTCTATGTCCCCAACCAAGGCGAATCTTTAAGCTGAAAACTCAATCTGCTCTCCAATCATATACAGCTGGAGGTATCATGGGCCATGCACCTTTAGCCCCTGGATCTTTTTCATGTTGATCCTGATTTCCTCAATCATGAAACAGGCGAATGAAAATCAGAGTTCCACTGAATAATTTTGAGGAACATCAGACGATGTCCAGACTGGTTGGTTAACAGTTTGCAGCAGAAACACTATTGATGCTTTTGTCTAAAACTGGTTACTCTGACTGACTTGTAAGGTCAGAGGTCACTGTAGCGGAAAGCAAAACGCTTCAACCAGACAAAACAGATGTTCTATGTAAAGCTCCTCACCTGGGCCCTCGTTCATAAAGCGTACATACGAACTGATCAGTGCGTGGGAACGATTTTACACATTGTGTGGTATTTACCGTCTTGGACTTGTGTGTGTAAATGTTCCTAAATATAAGAACCGCTCTGATCACGCGTACCAACAGCATCTAGAGGTAGAACGAGGGGACCACAATACCGAAGGTCTCAGTCATCATGCGTGTTACTCATCCAGAAAATATTGTTAACCAATAAATAACGAATGTCGGTGGAGAAACAGCTTTATTGCTTAACTGGTGTTAGAACCTATAAAAGACACCTGTGACTGAAACCGACGTTGTAGCATGGCTAATCTTGTGTTATTGGAGGATTCAATCGAGTGTGCACTGTGATCTGATTCCTGAAGGAGATCCTTCCGGAGCTATGCTCTGATTTAACACCCTTTATGGCGCGACAGACAAACTGCACAAATCTGATTCCAGTCCAGATTCAGTTACTGTCAACCACGAGAACCTCCAGAACTTTCTTCACTCTGCTCCTCGAACACACACGTGACACCAAGGTAACCAAACTGAATGACATCTCTGCAGTCAGACAAACCTTTCCAAACATAACATGCCTGCGACCCCTTAAAACTAAACTTCGGCTATGAGGACGTGTGTGCCCTAATAAGCCACACGTTTTCTGTTGTACCAAAATATGTTGTTAGAAACACACAAAATACTGCTGTTTATTTATAAATCTATAATATTTAGTACATTTTTGGACATACGTAGGACGCCATGTTTTCCACACGAGATGCACTCTGGGGGCGATGACGCATTTTGGTTGCTCTTGGAAGAACAGCTATTGATGCTAGTGTTTGTTTACGCGCTCACCGTATTAAAAATGAGGTAAAATGCCACATTGAGCTGCTTTTGGATGTAATTTCCAGTCAGAGGGCAACAAGGGGAGTGATGTGAGTTTACACAGCTTTTCCACCGGCAAGAAGAGGAGAAAGCAGTTGGAAGGCGCCTGTGGACGGACACAACTTCCCAAAGATCCGCGGCTGTGTTCCCAACATTTTTCTCCTGATGCGTTTGAGGCTTATAGTCAACCACAACTACTTAAAGAGCTCACCGGAGCGGCTGGGTATGAGAGCAGGCAGAAACTAAATGCTTTACCGACCATTTTCCCACACAAGGAGCCTAAACGCCCTCGGAGAGATAAGAGACGCTGGACGCTCTCCTGAGCCGACAACCCGCTCCTGCAGCTGCCGCTTCTGTCATGTTCAGCGATCCATCGGACACGCCACTCGTCACGGATGAAGCTGAACGCTCACCTCTCCCGTCAGTAAAACAAGCAGTAAGTGCAGCAATACAGTGTTCTCCAGATATATAATATCTGCAACAATGATTCAAGTCGTTTCACTGAAGATCCTGATCATCTCTGAACCACGCGACAGCTCTGGATGCTAAAATTCCCCTAAATCATTCAGAATTGAATACGTTTGATCACACGATCAAAAGTGAGCTCCTGACAACACTCTCCCTCCCGGTTACTATGGAGACGCGTTTGCCGCACACGCACCACCGGTTTTGTCCTGCTGTCGCTTCATCTCGCCCTTCTTGCTCTTCATGTTGATGCTGGTTTTGTGAAACATCATCAGTGATGTCATCATTAATGTTTCGCTCTGGTTCAAAGTGAAAAGGCTGAACAGATGACATGTTGATGTCGCTGAACAGTCGCTACACGGTCCCAAAGCTGGGCGGTGCAACCGAGGTACAACCAAATGATGTCACTACCCAGAGTGCATTGGGACGCTAACAACAATGGCGACCTACGAGTTTAACTGTTTTTACAAATGTTATAAAAATGAAGATATTAAGAAGGCTTTTTACACCATTTTAATATAACTGATACTAACACAGGGTTCCCACGCGTCCTGGAAAACCTGGAAAACCTGGAAAATGATAGTCCAATTTTCCAGTCATGGAAAACACATGGAAAATGGGGGGAATTGCAAAATGTCCTGGAAATTTTTGAGTTGTCCTGGAAAATAATTTTCCATCCTTGTGGATAAACAAATGGATTAAACATTTTGGGCAATATTGGGCTGTAGCGCTTCTCCTTTAATTTCTGCATCTAGCTGGCACAGCGCCCCACATGACGCTTCCAACCAATCAGATTGCATAATCCCCTTCAGTTCCAGTTCCACTTCTGTTTTTCCAACTGTCTTTTTGGCTAGATTTACAGATTTTTCACCCCTAGATTTATTTCTCTAAAGAAGGGCCAAAAGTAGCGACTCGGTTCGCGAGTATTGCGTTATCGCAGTTTATAGAGCGAGAGGTTTTTCTCCTTCTCTCTGTTGAGTGACAAAGGAGCAGCGGAGAGCTTTTGTTTTTTTCACTCATGCGATGAGACGAGTGAACATGAGGAGAGCTTCGGGATAGCAACGGAAAGCAGGTAGTCTACCGGACCCGCGCTCCACTCAGTAATTCATACTTGTTCTATCGTCCAACAGCAGAAACAAAAATATGTGAATGATAAAAATGTCATGAATTTGATTCTATCAAAATACTAAGTATGTGCTCAGAGGACAGAGCCTCAGATGTTCATACTGTTTTTAGCTAGCTACACAGACCGCAGCCAGGTGGCAGTGAGAACTGGACTGGCATGGTCATTGAACAAAGTTGTTAACGTAATTAAATTGAATTCAACACGGCTAAATTAATAACTAGAATGATTTTAAGTGGTAACTATATATTTATCATAGTAATGTTACGTACAGTCCAGACTAAAATGGTAGCGAACAACTACAAGTACTTATCTCTGAGGTAGAAAAAAATATTTTTCAGGTCCAATATGTCTGTGGTGTTAGCGGGAGATATTAGCCTAGTCATCTATCCTGAATCTTGTTTCTGGATGACTGGACTAACCTAAAATGACCAATACTGGAACAACAAAATGCAGTTTAACATCCAACTATGTGGAATAAGCAGTAAAGTGTAATGTGGTGTGTACAGTAAGTATAATACATAGAATATGAAAGATATGAAAGAGCTAAGGTTTGAAAAGTAGGCCTAATTTATTGTATAAACAGTAACAATCTTTCAAAATATGTCTTTGTGTCCTTTATAGGCAGGAGTGAGTGATGTCAGGAAGACGGTGCCAATTCAAAACTTTTCAAAACTGGCTTTTTGCTAGCCCCAAGACTCTCTGCCTGTGTGTTGGGGTTTACCCCAGTGGACGAGAGGGTAGCTTCCCTGTGCCTTCGGGTCGGGGAACGGGTCCTGACTGTAGTTTGCGCTTATGGGCTAAATACCAGTTCAGAGTACCCACCCTTTTTGAAATCCCTGGGACGAGTGCTAGATAGTGCTCCATCAGGGGACTCCATTGTCCTGCTGGGGGACTTCACTGCTCACGTGGGCAATAACAGCATGACCTGGAGGGGTGTGATTGGGAGGAACGGCCCGCCTGATCTGAACTCAAGTGGTGTTTCATTATTGGACTTCTGTGCAAGCCGCAGTTTGGCCATAACGAACACCATGTTTGAACATAAGGATGCCCATCGGTACACTTGGTACCAGGGCAGCCTAGGTCGCAAGTCGATGATAGACTTTGTAGTCTTATCATCTGACCTACGGCCGTATGTTTTGGACACCCGAGTGAAGAGAGGAGCGGAGCTGTCAACTGATCACCACCTGGTGGTGAGTTGGATCAGATGGCAGGGGAAGATGCTGCGTAGACCTGGCAGACCCAAACGCATAGTGAGGGTCTGCTGGGAACGCCTGGCAGAAGACCCTGTCAAGACGGTCTTCAACTCCCACCTCCGGCAGAGCTTTGACCGTGTCCCGAGAGCAGTGGGGGACATTGACTCCGAGCGGGCCTTCTTCCACTCTGCGATTGTTGAGGCGGCTGTTGCTAGCTGTGGTCGCAAGGTGGCCGGTGCCAGTTGTGGTGGTAACCCCCGTACCCGCTGGTGGACACCAGAGGTTCGGGGAGCCGTCAGGCTGAAGAAGGAGGCCTACAAGGCGTGGCTGGTCTGTGGGTCTCCGGTGGCAGCAGATAGGTACCGGATATCCAAGCGGGGTGCAGCAGTGGCAGTTGCCAAGGCAAAATCTCGGGCGTGGGAGGAGTTTGGTCAGGCCATGGAGAAAGACTATCGATCGGCTCCAAAGAGGTTCTGGCAAACTGTCCGACGCCTCAGGAGAGGAAGACAGCAACTCGCTCACACTGTTTACAGTGGGGATGGGGAGCTGCTGACATCAACTGGGGCTATGGTCGGACGGTGGAAGGAATACTTTGAGGAGCTCCTCAATCCCACCTACGCGCATTCCGAGGAGGAACCAGAGCCAGGAGACATGGGGATGGACTGTCCAATCTTGGGGGCAGAAGTTGCTGAGGTAGTCAAACAACTACACAGCGGCAGAGCCCCAGGGGTGGATGAGATTCATCCTGGGTATCTCAAGGCTATGGATGTTGTAGGACTGTCATGGTTGACATGTCTCTGCAACATTGCGTGGTCATCGGGGGCAGTTCCTGTGGAGTGGCAGACTGGGGTGGTGGTCCCCATCTTTAAGAAGGGTGACCAGAGGGTGTGTTCCAACTATAGGGGGATCACACTCCTCAGCCTCCCTGGAAAAGTACTGGAGAGGAGGGTCCGATCGATAGTCGAATCTCAGATTGAGGAGGAGCAATGTGGTTTTCGTCCTGGCCGTGGAACTGTGGACCAGCTCTATACCCTTGCAAGGGTGATGGAGGGGCATGGGAGTTTGCCTAACCAATCCACATGTGTTTTGTGGATTTGGAGAAGGTTTATGACTGTGTCCCCAGGGGCACCCTGTGGGGGACGCTCCAGGAGTATGGGGTGGGTGGCTTTCTGTTAAGGACCATTCAGTCCCTTTACCAGAGGAGCGTGAGTTTGGTCCGCATAGCCGGTAGTAAGTTGGACCTGTTCCCGATGAGGGTTGGACTCCGCCAGGGCTGCCCTTTGTCACCGGTTCTGTTCATTACCTTTATGGACAGAATTTCTAGGCGCAGCCGTGGTGTGGAGTGTGTCGAGTTTGATGGCAGGAGAATCTTGTCTTTGCTTTTTGTGGATGATGTGGTCCTCCTAGCTTCATCCAGCTCTGACCTTCAGCTCTTGCTGGGTAGGTTCGCGGCCGAGTGTGAAGCGGCTGGGATGAGGATCAGCACCTCCAAATCTAAGACCATGGTTCTCGACCGGCAAAGGGTGGCTTGCCAACTCCGGGTCGGGAGAGAGGTCCTACCTCAAGTGGAGGAGTTTAAGTATTTCAGGGTTTTGTTCACGAGTGAGGGTAGGAGGGATCGGGAGATCGACAGGCGGGTTGGTTCGGCGTCTGCAGTGCTGCGGACGTTGAGCCGATCTGTCGTGGTGAAGAGGGAGCTGAGCCAGAAAGCCAGGCTCTCGATTTACTGGTCAATCTACGCCCCAATCCTCACCTATGGTCATGAGCTTTGGGTAATGACCGAAAGAACGAGATTGCGAATACAAGCGGCCGAAATGAGTTTCCTCCATAGGGTGGCCGGACTCAGCCTTAGAGATAGGGTGAGGAGCTCGGACATTCGGGAGGGACTCTGAGTAGAACCGCTGCTCCTCCAGATCGAAATGAGTCAGTTGAGGTGGTTTGGGCATCTGGTCAGGATGCCCCCTGGACGCCTCCCTGGGGAGGTGTTTCGGGCATGTCCTGCCGGCAGGAGGCCCCCGGGTCGACCCAGGACACGTTGGAGAGGTTGCATCTCCAATCTGGTCCGGGAACACCTTGGGGTCCTGCTGGAGGTGGCTGGGGAGAGGACGGTCTGGAGCTCCCTAGTTGGGATGCTGCCCCCGCGACCCAGACCCGGATAAGCGGAGGAAGACGACGACGATTTCATTCAGCACAGTGGATTAACCTGGTTCAGTTGCTGAGCAGAACAAAAACAGGACATGGAGATTACTTAATGATGCCACAATGTCACACCTCTGGTATGAACTAAAGTAGAGAATAACTTCTGTTTTAGTTGTGTTGCATTGTAAGTAGAGGAAAGCAGGTGGGCTTGTGAAAGACAAAAATCTTTCCACAACTATATTGTCAAAATAACGGTGTGGGTAGGTACATTATCATATCTGTTTCTAAATATATCGGGATATCAGCAAACCGCAGTTATGATAACTTGACTTGTACACTGAAAAAGTCTTGAAAATGTCCTGGAAAAGTCCTGGAAAATTATTTCAAGAAAAGAGTGGGAACCCTGTAACATTTATCTTTGAAAAACCACAAGGTTTTGTAACCTGGGTTCCTTTTAATTATTAACTGTAAATGACTCCAGAATGGAGCTTTCTGTCCGTTACGCCATGATTTATCTAATTCTATTTCATGTTGAACCACCTGTGCAATTTGTTTAGTTCTCTTCAACTTCGGCAGACAGTTCCTCGACCTCACTGTCGTTAAAGTTTTTTTTCTCAGGAGGAACCCAGGGACTCCCCTCAGGAACTGAGGACGTGGCGTGACCACATATGGTTAATTAAGGGCGTTTCTGTATGTAGGTGACTGAATGGACACGAGCACATAGGCACGCGCAGGTGGGATGTATCAACAGATGGTAGTGGAAGAATGCACGTACGATTGGCCAGTACGAACGTTCTGAATTTCAATCGTAGGATGAAATGGGAACTACAGTTTATGAATGTTTGATGAACGAGGGCCCTGGAGTTGGACCCTAGTTCTTATCTAACTGTTCAGATCGGTTGTTAGCAAGGGGACATGTTGTGCTGCCACGTGGGTCTCTGCTGACTCCATAAACACTCCAAATGTGGAACAAATATGCTAATAGTTTTTTATTAAGATAAAATGAACAGAAAGTAACTTAGAGGTTTGTCGGAGAACCTGGAACCAGACCCAGAAACGGCAAAGCTGCTCATCTTGTTTCAAGCTTCCAGACGAAACTGTTCTGAAGCCAGAGACCCGATTCCAGAAGTCTAGTTCGTAGATGAAGCCAATGGTTCTGGTCCCGTCTAAGCGGATGTGTGTTGTGTTCCTAGCGGACCTCCTACGAGTGGTACATCCCCAAAGGCATCCTGAAAACAGGTTGGATGAACAAACACCTGAATCTTGTTCCTGCACTAGTGGTTCTGTTCTATGAGCTGGACTGGGATGATCCACAGTGGAAAGAAAAGCAGTCAGAATGTGCAACTAAAGTGGAGATAGTGAGGTGAGTTCCAGCTGCAGACTCTTGCCTGCCTGTTCATCTGAGACTTGAGTTTTTCAGCAGGTCTCTACTTGATCTCTGCTCACCTTTAGGACAAGTCTGCAGGGCAGAAACACCAAAGTGGCTGTGGTTTTAATCCAGAAGAAAACCCCTTTACCTCCAGGTAAATCTTCAGGCCCAGTCAGAACACTTTATTTTAGCTTTCTGCCCTGACTAGTTGTATTCATGTCTCCACAGGAGAAGACCTGGTAGCTTCAGAGAGGGCTTCAGCTCTTTGTAACGCCTGTGACCTGTCTGGGAAGAGCCTGTTTGTTCTCCCACACACCGACCACCTGGTGGGCTACATCATCAGGTACCTGAATCCCTCTCAGACCTACAGGCTTCCGCCTTCGCCTGCTGTCTGACCGTAATGTCTTGTTCCCCTCAGGCTGGAGAATGCCTTCTACGAGCACGCACAGACCTACTACTACACTGAGATCCGTCGTGTTAAATCACACAAGGAGTTCCTCAACAAGACCACCCACCAGGTATAAAGCCACGCCCACCATCAGGTGTAGAACAGAAGTGGCTCCAAGATTCTGACAGTAAACACAGACAGCTGACTTTATTTAGAACTAGTGTGTGAAACTGCTTCAGGTGTAACAGGAACATAGATGGTGAAATTCTCACTCATGTCTTCACTAGAAAATAAGTCGGTTTCTATGGAGTTTAGGAATGATCGATAATGGCTTTTTTTACCGATATTGTCTGACTCCTAATATTCGACATTAACCGATGCCAATATATGCAGCCCCCCCCCCCCCCCCAAAAAAAAATCTAGAAAAACATTTTAGGTTACTAACATCACAAATCTCCTATTGTGCTATAAGGACATCTACTACTTTGTTAGTACCGGTAACTGGAAAAGTTTCATATTTATTATCTTCAGTAGCTAAAGAGTTTGACGTATAATATGTGTATGGTAGGGATGTGTATTGGTGAGATTCTGGTGATGCGATACGTATCACGATGCAGGGGAGACAATACAACATATCACAATATATTGCCATACATTCAGCCAGACAGTATTAGCGATGTTTTTACGTTGAACTTATGAGAAAATTCAATAAACAGTCCGTTCCGATTCGTAACATGTTTAACATGAGGTATCTGAGCCATAACAGAGGGATTTACATTTCAGTGGTGGAAACAAATCCCATGGCACACTACTGCCAACTAGTGGTTGGTGTTTGAATTACACAAAAAGACATGAAAATACAAAAATGTTTGCATGTAAATTCTTCCAAAATTTAGACACACGGCTTTTAAATATCTATATAATATCGCAGGGGGAAAAAAATCACGATATATTGCCATATCGATATTTTCTTACATCCCTAGTGTATGGTATGTAAAAGTCGTGTCATTAGACCGAAAAATGATATTTTCCAATATAAATTATTAATGCCGATATCGGCATTTTTGTTTGTATAAATAAGTTTTGCTTTCAAAGAGATTTTTTTGTGCATCATTATTTTGTGCTCTGAAAACTTTTTTGTGTTTGAAACAAAAAGTGGATTTGTGGGTGTGGCCTTGCAGTGGGTGATGGAAGACCTCGCTTCATTGGCCGCGGTCACAGACGTGACCCCAGTTTATTATTTAGCCATATTAGCACGTCTCCATCGGCTCAGGTTCAGAGACGCAAACACGCATCGATGGACTTCTCTGTCGCCTGAGGAGTTTTGCAAATCAATTCCTTTCAGGACAACAGAGCGCGTAGTGCTTTTGTGGGATACCTGACACCATAGGGAGCCTACGTCTCCTCCCTTTCCAGTTAGCTCACGGGTCTCCGGAAGAACGAAAACATGAATGCAAGTCAACGGGGCTAAAAACGCCATTTTCTAATCCGCTTTGCCTTCGACCCTGGATCACACATATGTTTTACTTATATTTAAATGAAAGTAATAAAGAGTGTTTCAACCACGCCTGTCACGTACTTTGAAATAATGAGCTTGTAAAAATTTGCTGTTAGCAGGACCACAAATCAGACGTCGTCACATAATCTCCTCTCCTGTGGGGAGTTTGCTGAACTTACAGCCCTTTTTCCTCAGTTTTCTCCGTGTCTGGTTCAATTACGCCACTTTTGTGAAGCGCATTTGTATTCCTGGACTTATTTTCACACAAAACCTAAAACAGCGTTTCCCCACGTTCGAAAATAAGCGCGTTCTTGGTATCAAAATGTGTGTATAAAATTCACGGACATCATATGTGAAATCCATGGCACAACAAGCGAAATTAGAAAACGGCGTTTTTAGCCCCGTTGACTTGCATTCCTTTTTTCCATCCCGTCGCCTCGTCTAAATCCACATTTCACGTAATTTCCTTCCATGAATAAAAGGTTTGCTGCGTATCATTGCACTCCTTCATGCACGGGTGTATAAACGCTCATATCATCCGACTTTTTTCAGTCTGCTCCGTGTCTGCTGCTAGAAATCTTCGGCACTCCTTTTATTTTTTTGAAGGGGGGGGGGGGGGGGGGGGGCAGTGTTGTTGACGAATTTTAAGGAAGCGGCGTCCTGACCAGTCACGTGCTTGCTGTCTCTGTGACTTTTGATGGACAGTAAAATATTTGGACACGTCTCCGTCACCCTCTGTGGTCCTGCTGCAGAGCCCTTGAGTTGACGCATAAAGGCGTTGTGTCTTTGTAACTCAGGCTTTATGTAGCGCTCGTCCTCAGACGCTGTAGCTGAAAGAAGACGGATGTGGTAGACTGTTCTCTTCAGACACGAAGAGGGAGCTGTGGTTTTCTTGTCACGAGCTGACCTTTGACCTCTGTGTGCTTTCTGCAGCTGCTGTTTGTACGACATCAGTTTAAAATTGCCTTCTTCAGCGAACTGAAACAGGACACCCAGAATGCTCTGAAGTAAGTCTGAGCTGAAAGCTCCTCTTGTTAAACACGTCCATCCTGGCTGGAGATGTCTGCGACCCAAAGTGTAGATCTGCTTCTGTGAAACATGTTTGTGTTGGTCGGTGAGGCAGAGGTGTGTTTCTCGTTGGGTGGTGCAGAACGGGTCTTTGTTCAGGGCGTGTGTTTCTGCTGCAGATACTATAAAACAGCCTACAGTCTGGTCCATGAGCTGAGGGTGCACGAGACCAACATGCTGGAGATCAAAACCATGGCAGGATTCATCAACTACAAGGTAGGGCAAAGCTCGCCCGGTGGGTGAAGTTTGATGTGTGTTACCCCGATGGGTGAGGGTGATGTTGATAGGTTAGAATTATCTGCTCTGAATCCACGCTTGTTTGCTTCTGCGGTCGTGATCGTCATGGTGCAGGTTTGCTTTTCATCCTGGAGAAGATGGGTCAAGTTCTTCTTCTGTGTGTCTGGTCCCTCTAGATCTGCCGACTGTGTTTTCAGCACAACACTCCTCTGGACGCCATTGCTCAGTTCAGAAAGCACATCGACCTGTGTAAAAAGAAGATTGGCTGTGCTGAGCTGGCCTTTGAGCACTCTGCATGGATGTCTAAACAGTGAGACACACACACACACACGCACGCACACACGCTGTCACCTCCTACCCAAGTGCTTCTCGTGTTATAACAAACACACGACATACCACACAGCTTCATTACCTACAGGAGGTCACAAGCAATGTTCCCTCTAAGTGTTTCGTGTGTGAGCAAAAACACGAACTACCCGAGCCTTCCTTGAACCGTTGTGAGCAGATCTGATACGTACACTATGGCCGTGCCGGTGTCAGGCTTGTCAGCAAACCGAGATTGTAAAAAGTGTGATGGCTTATTTAAAACAAAATAACAAGTGCAGAGGAGACGTGGGGCCTCCTTTCCATGAGCTCACCACTTGTGGGAGGGGCCAAAGAAGTCGGGTGCATTGTGTATCAGGTGGTAGCCGAAGGCAGGGACCTTGGCGACGTGAGTCTCGGCCACAAAAGCTGGCTTTCGGTACGTGGAATGTCACCTCTCTGGTGTGAGAGGTCAAGAGGTTCCGACTAGATGTAGTTGGACTCGCCTCAACGCATGGCCCTGGCTCCAGAACCTGTGTCCTTGAGAGGGGTTGGACTTTCTACCACTCTGGAGTTGCTCCCACTGAGAGGCGCCGAGCAGGGGTGGGCATACTTGTTGCCTCCCATCTTGGTGCCGGTACGATGGGGCTTACCCCGGTGAACGAGAGGGTAGTCTCCCTTCACCTCCGTGTGGCCTGCGACAGCCTCAACCACGAGAGCGCGGCTGCACCGGCCGTTAGGTACTTGTATGACCGGTGTCATAGCATGGTCCGCTCTGCCGGCAGTAAGTCAAGCCCGTTTCCAGTGAGAGTTGGACTCCACTAAGACTGCTCTCTGCTTAGGTGACCCGACACCGAATAAGGGGCTGAAAATGGATGGATGGAAATTGCAGTATTACATTCCATCAGATTACTCTTAATAACAGAGATTTGGCTCACTTGTGTGAAAAAGACTAAATTCTGGAGCTTTCTAGTGGCTGTTTTGTATGTCGGCGTCCATTCAGCCATTTTTCTTGCTACTTCTATCTCCCTGGTCACACATACATTACCGTGTGATCGTGGATCCGTTGAACCGGAAGCATTGATGCATTCATTTGGATATCGAAAGAAAGTTGATGAGAACTTAAATTTGCTCAGGATCAGATTTCTTTTGGTGCAACACCTTGTACCTTTTCTCCCAATCTGCTGCTCTCTCCTGAAACAATGTACCCATCAACGTGTTGCATCTTTGTACTGTATTTTCTGGAGTATAAGTCGCACCAGCCATAAAATGTATAATGAAGAAGAAAAAAATATATATAAGTCACATTTTGGGGGGAAATTTTATCATTTTTCTTACAAAATCTGAGACCAAGCATTTCACATTGCAAGACAAGTGCCGTTAACAATAACAGAATAAACAACGCGGCGCAGCAGCGCGCCACGGTCTCCAGCAGAGGATGGCGGCGTTTCAAACCCTCCCAGCGGGCGGGGAGAGCTCATTCACCTCGCCACAGGATCCAGCAAGTGATGGCGGGGCAGGGGAGCTCATTCCTGGTCTGGAGCCGGCCCACAGCAGCGCGGTATACATAATTTGGTATATGAGTCGCAGCAACAGCCAGACTATGAAAAAAAGTGCGACTTATAGTCCGGAAAATACGGTAAATCTAACTGCACTCAGATGACTCGAGACTTTTCTGTTGAATGTGATGCTGCATGAGCTGAGGGTGTACTTTCCATTCAGTTCAGACTTTTCCCTCCAAAATTCACTCGCTACTTTGGTGTTGCAGCGTGCTTGGCGGAGCAGCCCTTCGTCACTAGAAAAAGAAATAAATCTTGCCCAGTTTTACCTCTTGTTCTTGAGTTCTCTAGGCGTATTTCCACTTTTGGAACCTCAGGGTAATTTTACTAGAACATTCTGGCTTCACCGGACTGGCCGAATGAGCCATTTACCAGAACCAGTGGGGTACCTAAACGGAGACGGGGACTCGGAAAAGGCCCGGTGGAGTTGATGGTTGTAACTCAGTAGGACTTGATATGAGCAGACGTCGCCCTGAACAACTGGCGTTCGTAGAAGTAGAAGAGTTGCTCGTGAAGCAGAATGGAAGTACAAGCAAAAGCACCTGCTTTAAGATCACCGTTATTAAACTTCCCCACAACGTCATTCATGGAGCTTTGTTGTCTCACAAAGCTCGGTAAAAAACTGCTTCTTCTGATCTTCAACGCCACATTTTACGTCATACAGCTGCTCTCCCGTTCCTGTGAATGGATTCGATTGCAGTGCTTTAACAGAACAAAACTTTTAATGTCACTGTGGACTAGTGGTGTGCATCTCTACCTGCCTCACGATTCGATCCGATTCCGATTATCTGCCTAACGATTCGATTTGAGTCTGAAATGCGTCACGATTCTTCACACAAAATTTTTCATTACTTAATAAAAGCAGTAGAATAGTTTTCAATTTCTTTTTGATTTAGAAATCCCTGAAAAACAGAACATTCATCTATTCACTATAGTGAGCAATAATTTTTAAAGTGTGCTGCCTATAATTACTGAAATAATATAAGAAATAATGTTTTCGGTAGAGCAGCTTTAAGATAGAATATTACTGAACTTAAAAATAGTAAACAAATACTGTGTTAATGATTCTTTCACATCCAGGATCCCAAAACCGAAATTAGCCCAGACATCCGATTTAAATGTAACAGGTAGATCTTTTATTACTGGTAATGTTGGCCCTGTATCCCTGTCCTCCTTTTCTGTTTTAAATTGGCGTTAGGGCAACGCAGTGCGCATGTCATTGCAACTCTGCCCCCAGAAGTAATTATAAAACCTCAAAACTTTATTGTCCTGCATAGACATAGACCAGGGGTCGGCAACCTGTTCCCATCAAAGAGCCATTATTACCCGTTTCCCACAGTAAAGAAAACACCGCAGCAGCCGCGGCGTTGTGGGCGGGGCCTACCCTCAGTCAGCAGCCGGTACCGGTCACTCGTGTACGTCAAAGCTATCTTTCATAAGAAGATAATCAATAAAATGATTTATATAAAGTGGATCCAGAAGTTGTAGCCCATCTCTGCCTACAATATGTTGATATTTTTCACCCTGTTGGTGGTTTTACTGAGCAGGTGCCACTTTTGTCATACGTTTCTTTTTAAAACATGTTTAGACTGTTCAGAATACAAATCCAGGCTCTGTCACATTTGATTGTTGTAATTAAACTTTGTAGGTGGGGAAGGTCAGAAAAGGATCCGATCATTTTGTTTTTCCCTCGTTTACAATGACGGAGATAACGGCGCAGTGCGCCTGGCTCTGGTGTTAATCAAGTTTAATTGTATCTCTTTGCAACAATTTTCACAAGAAAACAGAACAGTTAAAAGCAGGGCTTGTGTTGACCGGACAGTTCCTGCATTTGACCGTTTATTTTGACGGAGAAAGAATAGAAAGAATTACCCCGACGCATGCAGACGAACTGACACTTTATTCGTTTCGTGCAGATGTAGCTAAATCACTTAAGAAATGATTCCCATCTGAGCTTGACACTGAGCTCAGCGCAGCTCGCTGTCAGCGCGTACGTACGGCGCACAGCGAGCTGAAGAAGTGGAGAGGGGCTTGGAGCACATCACAGAACCAAAGCGCAGGAAGATTCCTCCGACTGAAGCGAGACTTGTCACTTAGAAAATGTTCCCTGATTATGAAACTTTGGCTGAATAGCACTTGTTCCTGTCTCCAATGTGGCGACACATCCAGGAGCTGAGGAGAATCCCAGAATCTCACGTCCTCGTCAGCTCAGAATGCGCCTTTATGATTACGCACAAGCGTGACGCGTCAACCCGGTCTCACGGTAAGACAGGGTTGGACCTGTTCAGGTTTACACAGACAATCTTTACGTTTAGAATTGGCATACAGATGTAAAATTAATGCAGTAAAATATAAAGCTTTTTATTTAAATATTCATTCATTATTTTACAAGCACAGAGAGCCGCATCAGATGGATGGAAGAGCCGCATGCGGCTCCAGAGCCGCGGTTGCCGACCCCCGACATAGACATAGGGAGAGAATCTCATTATGTCACGTTGCTGCATCGATGCGGAATCGTGCACGACTGAATCACGATGCATCTTAGAATCGATCATTTTTCCCACCTCTATTGTGGACACATTTTGGCGCTTATCTGTGACATCACTCACTGCTGAAGCAGTCGCGATTTGCTGACATCTGTATGGCGACACAAGGGCTGAGAGGGCCGGCCCATCACATCTCCCGGTCAGTTTCCCCATTTGAGAAATGGTCCTGAAGCTCCAACAATGGAAACACGACTTCTAACTGCCCTTCCATCGTAAAAGAACTTCATTTCTTTTTGACTTGGGCTTGGAAAGGGGATGTCGCAGTTTGTTTAACAATAGTAAGAGGTTTCCGCTACCCCGCACCATTAGCTAGGTTAACAAGCCTGAACCTGATCTGAACCTGCCTAATAACTGTATCAGTGGTCCAGATCCTAACGGCATCTCTGTTGTTGCCAACAGGTTTCAGTCTTTTGGTGAACTATTTGATGAGGCAATAAAGTTGGGTCTTACAGCCATTCAGACCCAGAACCCGGGTTTCTACTACCAGCAGGGAGCCTGTTACAGCCAGGACAGGAAGCAGCTGGCGCAGCAGCTGTGTCAGGTTAGAGCCTCATCTTCCTCGTCTTATCTGTCGCATTCTGATTTTACTGATGACACTGTGATGAAAACACAAGCTATTGTCTTATCAAGAAGAGCCCAGCTGATGGCCGTTTGTATTCCAGATCGGAGCGAGTTTCCCTGCCCAAGTCCCAGTGGAAACCCAGAGCGGAGGACTGGACTTCTACGGCCAGAGGCTTTGGAGACAAGGACACCAGAGTATGTGCTAACACATGCACGCACACGCACACACACGCACGCACGCACGCACGCGCGCACACGCACACACACGCGCACACAGACGGACAGAATTGCTTTCTCTCTCAATAAACACTAAAGAGTTGCCTTTCTACAGCTGATCGGTGTGTTTCATCTCCAGGTATCGATCCACCCGATGCTGACAAGGAGAAGAGCGGGATTCTGGCTCTGCAAATGAAGGAGAGGGATGTCCCACATTCTGTAAGAAAACACACACCAGATGTCCGTCAGCGACCGTACCTTCTAGGGTTGGGCGATTTGTACAATTTTTCCAATCGTCGGTCCAAAAAAAGACGATGGACCATTTATTTGTGCATGTGACGTCATGACGCACGGACTGATTTGCGAACACAGAAGAAGCCCAAAACAGATTTTTTTTTTAGACAGGCGCAGCACAAATGTTTGCTGGAAGAGAAATTTATATTTTTCTTTTTGTTTAATTTTGTATTTGTAGTTTGGAGGGTGACGTATTTAAACACGGTTAAAATGTTAAGAACACGCCTCGTCTTCGTTTCCCTGTGGTGCCCACTGTTGTGGTATTTATTTAAGCTAAATGTTTCTTTCTGAACGAAGGCCACTGGGGTTTTTCTTTTGTCAGTGGGCGATGGAAAGAATCGCTGCTGAGTTTGGACGCACTCTGAGGAGGCAGCTCGCTGCCAGAGGTCACATGATCCATTTATCCCCGTCACTTTCATTTTTAAAGTAATGAATGATCATTTGTTAAATTTCCATTCATTTTAATAAATATTTAGTCCAACCAAGCTGATCAGAATGACCCAGTAACATGAACAACGCAGTTAAACGATTTCAGTTAAAATAGGAACATTTCACCTGCTGCGGCTCGAACGCCCGTTCCTCCTGCGCCGCGTGAACCTGGGCCGGTCACCTGCAGCTTGTGTGTGATCACACGTCTCCAGGGAGCTTGCTGAAGAGGTTATGAGCATCTAGACTGTTGCCTCAGACAGACTCGTGACTGTTTCAATAATGTTCTGGATGGATCCGTGCTCTGCTGACGCACTCGAAGCAGGCGCTGGATAACGACGAGCGCTACTTCAGCCAAAGTTTTAAATCGGGAAACATTTCTCCAAATGAAATAACCAGAAGTCTTCCAGACTCAGAAAGATAGAAGGGTTTCCGCTCAACACCGCGCTGTAGTGCACGATGTCGAGTGCGTCACAGACGCTCTCCAAACCCCTCCTCAGCCCGCCGCTTGCGCGTGCACCGTCAGCAGCCAGAGGCGGAGGAGGTGAGAAAATCAAATCAAATCAAAGCTTTATTTATAAAGCGCCTTCCGCAACCCTGTCAGGAAGCCCAAGGCGCTGGGCTTCCTGACAGGGAACGGGCCGAACGGCCCTGGCTGGATCGAACGAAAACGCTCAGATGCGCTGATGGAGATCTTTTCTTGATTGTTACCTCCGCGATGCTCTCTGTGCGTAACGTGTAAAATATTCATCAATAACAAACAAATAAATAAATAAACAAATCGCCTCCTGTAAAAAACAACCGTAACTGCTCCGCCCATCGCCCGACCCTAGTACCTTCAGTCTGACGTTAACCCAGACCTTAGCGCCTGTTGCGTTTTGGTGTTTCTACACTGAACTGTTGTCTCTGCTTCTGTCCTTACAGGAGCTGATCATAGCTCTTCTCAGTAACGCCGTTGCTCAGTTTAAGAAGTACAAGTGTCCTCGGATGAAGAGCCACCTCAGTGCGTATCGCTGCTGTGTTTTAACATCTCTTTAAACTCGTGGCTCTTCTGTCTGAGATGAAGGTGTTAGCATTTCGCTTTGTCAGGTGGACGTTTGAGAATCCTCCGTTTCCTTTTTAGATATAAAAAACTGAAACCTGTGATGAGGGGTGACGATGATGACATTGGGTCCTTGTTTTGTTGTTATTAAAGGAGACATAATAAGACCTTTTTAAAATCAAAAGTTCTTGCATACAATCCGTCTCACATGAAGCAATCTCACCAACTTAATTCTCGAGATTTTCAGTACCCTCCAGATTCAGATTGTCAGATTCTGTTGCTTTAAGGAAAACGAGTGGTTGCTGGCCACGCCCACCCATTCCTTGATAGGCTGGGCGTTTACCACAGAAAACATGGGGCATCAGGGGTCACATTCCTGCTTCCTATTACAGATGTGCACTGTCACATCCAAATGACTTAAATCCGGTGATCACTGAGGTTGTGTCCCATAAAACCCACACGTGTCAGCACCACACTGGTTACAGAGAAAACGTACTCCTGAGCAGAGTTAGGTCACGCTTCACTGTCTGGGTCATTGTCCAAAGTTCCTTAAGACTCTAAATTTGGTGGGATTGTGTTGGCTGCTTCAGTGCATGGACATTGGGGGCAGTTCCACTGGATTGGCAGACTGGGATGCTGGTTTCCTGCAGGGTGTCCATCCACAGAGTATAACACTCCTAGCTTCCCTTATATGGTCTGTTCTAGGGTTCTGGAGAGGGTAGTCTGCCAGAGAGTCAAACTTTGGATTCAGGAGGAAAGATGTGGTTTTCTCTCGCACCTAATTAAGAATCACTGGGTTAGTCCATTGAGTCAGATTGCGGGGGGGTAATCCCTCTCCCCAGCCATCAGCCCCTCTGGGGGAGTATAAGGCACATCCTGGACAGCCGAAAAACAATCCCTCCTTCCTTCACCTCTCGGTGAACTAAAATGTTGGATTCTCGTTGGTTTTGGTGGGTGCGGGCTTCACAGTTGAAGGGAGTTTGGTGCAAACGTTTTGAAATGGCTCGTTTTAGGAACGTATTCCTAAACCAAACATTGGCAGAAAACAGATATATTGTTTGGAGTGTTTAGAGGCAGGCAGTACTGAAAGATGCAACTAGTGAGTTTTGCATAATTTATCCCCATAAATCCCCGTGACTTGATAAGTTATTTTTTTTTCCCATCACAGTGGTCCAGATGGGAGAGGAATACTACCACGCTAAAGACTACATTAAAGCCCTAAAGTGAGTGACTGGCTGCACCGGTTAACACAAATGTGCCATGTTAGGGACCTTAATGGAGACACTGTCGGGGACTCTGATGGAGACCAAAAATAAATGATCTGACTCAAATAAAACAAAGTCCAGAGACTTGTGTAATAATTTGCAGATAACATATGTCAGAAAGGTTGGCCTTTCTACATGTTCTGGAGGCAGACCTGCTCCCTTTAGAGAGCAGACGTTACCTGCTGCTGAGAATATCCACTCCAGTAGGTTAGAAGCTTCAGGAATGCACAATGGGGTGGAGAAACAACCCTAATTTTTGCTCTATTTGCTCAATTTGCAGTTTTGAGAGAAAAATGAAGCTTCAAAAAGTAAACGATCTATTAAATGCTTCGATGATTTTGGTAGTCAGTGTCATCAGGACCAATCTTTGCAGCACTTTTGGAGACCCTGTTAACTCTGAGACCCTGTTGGGGTCCCAGAGCATAGATGACCTGTTTTTGTTCTGAACCAGGCTGTTGGATTACGTGATGTGTGACTATCGGACCGAGCGCTGGTGGGGTCTTCTGACAGCCATCCTGAACACAGCTCTTTGTTGTGCCTATCTGATGGCCAGTGTGAAGGACTACATCATTTACAGCATGGAGCTGCTGGGCCGAGGTACCACTGTTGGAACAAGAGCTAGTACAGGACCCGTTTTTACCCTGTTTCATCTTTTCCCATCCAGCTTCTACCTTAAAGGAGGAGCAAAAATCCAGGATCCAGAAAAATCTCTTCCGAGTCCTAATGGTTGGTACCAAGACTCCACAGACCCAACCCAACAGGCTGAGCAGCACGTCACTAGCATTACAGTATCATAGCTGTGTGTAGCAGAGCGTTTTTCTTACATCTCTTATCTAGAACGAGGTCCCGGAGGCCGAGCCTGAGTGTGACCCATCTTCTGTCAGCGCCGCCAGGTCGCTGTGGACCGACCGAACGGCCCTGGCTGGATCCAACGAGCTGACCATAGAAGTTCAGGACTACGTCCCCTTCAGTCAGTACACACTGCATGCTTGGAGGTGTTTTTATTAGAATGACATCATTCAGAAGAGAGAAGTTGGATTTTAGCTAGGGATGGACAATATATCAGCGTCAATATCGGTATCGGCCGATGTGAGTCATTTTTTAACATATCGGTTTAATAAATTAAACCGGGCCGATATTAACAACCAATATTTTTTTCCATCTCGTCTCCATTTGTTTGCCTGTTTCAGAGGGTGAGGGGGGTGATGTGTATTTGTTTAGTCATGTGAACGGTGCATGATATCATCTCTGAACCCTAAATGTGTGTGTTGTGTGTACATAATAACGTAAATTCAGCTTTAATCATTTTCATTCTATAGAAAATCTGCTGATTTTTAGAATGATTAATGTCAGTATTATTGGTTATCGGCCATAACAGTGATCTTTATATCGGATAGCAGTATCGGCCCAAAGATGTCATATCGGTGCATCCCTAATTTTAGCCTGAAGGTGATTCCAGCAGCGGGTAGCTAGAAGCTGAAGACAGAAGCAGCTCTTGTTCGGGTTTCTGATTTAGGTCTGGGTTTGTTTCTATTGAAGACTTTCAGGGTCTGATTTTCTGCTGGAGTCTATAGACCTTGCACTTCTTTAGCCCTCCACTTGTCCAGCTTTACTGTTTTTGAGGACAACATGCACAGTCTGCTGAGGAACAGAATTTAGAACTTTAGCTTGGTGAGAAAACGGCCAGAGTCTATAGAAGAAAACCCGTTAAAGGGTCGCCACAGCGAATCATCTGTTTCCATTTAGTCCTGCTTTCTGCCTCCCCTACCTTCACACCACCCAGCTTCATTCCATCTTTCTTCACACGCTTCTTCACCACTTTTCCACCCTCTCCGTTGCTACTCCGTCACATCACCATTCCACTTGTGTTCCTCTCATTTACACACATGGATTGTTCTTCATTGCTCTCTTCCAGTGCCTATCTCCACCTCTCTAGCGTTCCCTTCACCTCCACCATGCTCTCACTGCGGATTACTGTCACGTGCAACATCATAGTCCATGGAAACTCCTGTCTAACATCTGTCACCAAAGCTTGATGCCGTCTCACCTCCACCCTACAGCACACCTCACTGCTGCCTCACAGCTCTCATACATGTTCTCTAACATCTGTGCTGCTCTAGGCCTCTCACGCAGCACCACAGCTCCTCTCTCTACACGCTTTCTCTAAATATACAAAGATGCAGTGAAGACTAACCCCAACATGCCGTTTTAATTTAGTCCAGATCATTAGAGGCTAAATCTAACAGAAAATAGCTGTTCAAGCCTTTGTGCAGTACTAAATCTTACATATTTGATTTAATGTGCCGTTTCTCCATCCTGACTTCAGTCCAGTGCAAAGCCAAATTCCAGTCTCCAAGTTTCCATGTGGACCAGTCCATCCAGCTCCAGGTCTTCCTTCGAGCAGACTGTCCTCATCCTGTGTCTTTCAACAAGCTAGCTGTTAGCTTCAGTAACCAGGTACTCCACACAGGACCAGTAAATCTCTTGGGTGAAATCCTTTCCTCTAAAGCGTTTAACATCAGTGTTGCTCTTTAAAGTTGGCCATTCAGGCTGACGTTGGCTACAATCTACATACAACTTTCTATTTGGCCAATACCGGTCCAACAACCTGTAATCGGCTAAATATCCCTACGTGTTTTTGATGTTTTATTGGCTCTAAATATTTAAAGGGAAAGCGAAACAAAAAGTACTTCAAGGAATATAACCTCTTTAAACACGAGTCAGTCGATGATCACACAAACCTACTACTCCGTCCCATAGTTAAGATCCCTCTATGTGTTGTTTACCAATAGTATGCCCACAGCTTAGATATGCTGTACCTAGTCTACACATGATCTACAGCCTTCCTGCTGTTCATATGTGGTTTACACACCATTTACACACAGTACACACACTTTAAGCGTGGTATACATAGTCTACCCATAGCTTAGTAAAAGGTAAATGGTCTGTATTTAATATAGCACCTTCTAGAGTCCTGGGACCTCCCAAGGTGCTTTACAACACAACCAGTCATTCACCCATTCACACACACATTCACACACTGGTGGGGATGAGCTACGATGTAGCCACAGCTGCCCTGGGGCGCGCTGACAGAGGCGAGACTGCTGAGCACTGGTGCCACCGGCCCCTCCGACCACCACCAGCAGGCAAGGTGGGTTAAGTGTCTTGCCCAAGGACACGACAACAGTGACAAACTGAGCGGGGCTCGAACCTGCAACCTTCCGATTGTGGGACAGGGACAAGCACTTAACTCCTGTGCCACCGTCGTACACAGTCCAACAACGACTACCTGCAGTCAATATGCAGACCACCCATGATCTTAAGCTTGGTTTATGCTTGACGCATTCACTTTCCACGCGGTGATGCGGCTCGCGGCTGGAACGCGCTTCACAACTCGCAGCTTTTATGGTTCATGCGGCTCGTCTCTGCGGTGAGCCAATATTCTCCCAAACTGTAGGGGGCAGCATGGAGCTCTACGGCATGCATCCAACACTACACCATAGTAGAAGTAGAAATTACTGTTTACAACATGGCATTTCAGCATTTTTAACAGCGTCCTCGTCTTTTCCGACAGTGCGAGCTATTTCTCTCCAAGAATTATTAACAACATGTTGATCACGGTGATCTCTGAGAGCTGAATCATACAAATGTCTGTATTTACGAACCTCTGCCATAACTAGTTCTTGCCGGTCCGCCATGTTTTTCCGCGTCCGACCGTCCGCGTGGTTAGACAATTTCCTAGGTGCGCGGTGCGGAAATTTTGGGCTGTGCGGAGGCGCGGTGGAGGGGCGTGGTTGTTAAAATGACGCAAAATGACGCAACTTTTCCGCGTGGAGTCGTGCGGACCTCGCGGACGCGTCAAGCATAAACCAACCTTTAGTCTTAACGTGGTCCATACTTTAAACAGTTTGCCCCGAGCTTTCACACAGTCTACACGTGATTTTATACACAAGGTCAATACCTACAATCTAAATACAATCTACTCATAGATTACATGCAGTCCTTCTCCCATAAAGTGTCAACGAGCGTCAGGTTTGTGTTTGTATTTTCATTTTTAGGAATACAACCAGTGGTGTGCAGCAAAGTCACAGGGTCCTGACAGTTGGACCCTCCTTCCAGGGAAAACTAAATGCTGCAACTTCAGCTTTGTAGCTAAAACTGAAGACGTTGGTAAAAAGGTAGAGGTAAGTCTGTGTATTTGACAGGAAGACCCTGGACTGAACTGCAGCTAACTGCGTGTTTGTCATTTGTGCACGCACAGATTACTGGCATTGAGTTGGTGCTGGGCAGCGACAGTGGCCGCTGTGTTTTTCTGAGCTGGAGAGGTGCTGGTGGAGACACTGCTTCAGCCCAGGAGGCCCTGCAGGCCAGCAGGTCATCACGCAGGTGGTGGCGTGGCCTTGGGGCACGTCAGGAGCTTGACTGGGACAGTCTGACTGTTCAACATAGCACCATGTAATGTCATCAGAAACCTTTCATTTTTAACACTCCTCCTGTAACTGAACAGCTGCTCATGTGGATATTTCTGCTTGTTTTCTCGTGTTTAGGATCATATCCAGAATCCCAAAGATCTCTGTCCACCTGAGCCACCAGCCTCCTGTCCTCAAGAATGAAATGTACTGCATCTGCTTCACTGTCCAGTCACAGGAGGCGGCTGTGGCTCAAGACATCAGACTGACAGCAGGTCTCAAACCAGGTAAACTGATACTAGATAATGAGGGTTTCCCACTACTGAGCACGGCTTGACTCGACTCGATAAACAACTCTAGTGGGTGGGCTCATTGTAGCGGGGGGGGGGGGGGGGGGGGGGGGGCAGAGGCCCTGGTAGTTACTTCTGGGTCACGGCAATTTTGTTGGCGTCTGGTGAGACCCAAGCCTGGCTCTTGATGGTTCAGCTTTTATTCTGAAAGGAACTGTTGCCGCAGTTGATATAGCAATGAATTTTTCCAGCTTGTCATTGTTCTTTCGGTTGAAGAGTTGAGATCAGGATTGGCCACTCCGTCACTTTCTCTGGAACACTTTGAGCTGGCGTTAGAGCTGACATGGCATAGTTTTATACTTTGGATGTTATGATTTATTGTCGAATGAAAAATTACCAAACACCATCAGAACTACGCCTCCGTCAGATCTGTTAGATTCTGATTGGCTCAGTGAAAGGAATGTGTCATGTCTTTTTAACGCTACGTGAAATGAGTCCTGTTGGAATATTTAAAGTCACAGTACCGTTATATTCTATAGGATTATAATAAAGTAATTAATATTTTGATTTCACAGATCGGTCACATCTTATTTGTTGACTAACACTTTGATGGATTAGCTTTATTAAAATAGAGTTCTTTGATTAATTAAAAGAAAAGAGTTCATTCTTCGTTCTTCTGTTGAGCTGAAAATAAGCAGGTTAGAAGGAATGCATGAGACCTCGAGACTTATCTCATGCAGACTAGTCTTGAGCAGAGGAGGAAAAAAAACAGTCATTCCGTTCAGTTACATAATCGATGCTCGATGCCCGACCCTAGTCGTGTGTGTGTGTGTTTTTGTGTGTGTGTGTGTGTGTGTGTGTACTGAGAGAACACAACCACCAGTATACGCAGTCATCCTGGTCATCGTGTCTTTTCCAGGCCAGGATGCAAATCTGGGCCTAGCTACCCATGTGACCCTCGACGGCTCCAGCGTTTGTGACGATGGTGCTCCAGCTCTGCTCACCGATGTGCCTCTGGGTGACCTGAAACCTGGAGAAAAGGTGCTCACTTCTGCCTGAACACGCACACATGCGCACCTGTCTGCATTACCCAGCAGCAGAGGGACAGTGATTTCTCTTTCTGTCTGTGTGTGCTTGACTCTAGCTGGAGAGGTGTGTTTTTGTGAGGTGTGCGTCCACTGGGCCAAGGGTCTTCCTGTTTCAGGTGGCCTACAGCATCGACACAGAAGTGGAAGGACGACAGATTGTGTGCAGATGCCATAAGGTCTCTGAGTTGGACTAAGTCTCACTGCCTAAAACATCACTCCACCTCTGGGTTTTCCTAATTAGGTCTTTGTTTTCCTTTGTCTTCCAGGATGAGATGGTAACCATAGAGACGGTCGTCCCGTTTGAGGTGTCAGTCAAGTTTGTATCTACCAAGGTGGGCAGCTTTCTCTGGTTTTCCTTTTGTTTTCATCGTCACCACTGAGACCTGTTTGAGTCTCATGTCCCAGTAGAGGATGAGAGACCAGGATGGATAGACTGATGATGGTGCAGCTTTAATGAGAAGAAGGCGTGTGTGTGTGTGTGTGTGTGTTTTCAGTTTGAGCCTCTGGAGCAGGTAGCGGTGGACATTCCCTTCCTGCTGATGACAGACCTGGTCTCTTTGTCTCCGTGGCCCCTGATGCTGAGCTCCTCCTCCCTGCAGCTGCTCACACTGAGCAGCAGCACGACTCAGCTCCAGTCACAGCTGCAGCATGGTACCAGACCCGGTTCTAGTCCTACACCACACAGACTTCACATTCACATCCTGACGTGTGTGTATTTTGATTTTCAGTGGTTATTCAGACTGGTGAGTGTGCCAGTGAGTGTTTTTGTCTTCGATGTCCATCTGGGACCAACAGCGCCAACACTGTAGCGACAGGACAGTACCTAGTATCATGGAGGAGGTACGCGCGCATGCACACACACACACACACACACACAGAATGGTGAGTGTGTAAATCTGTCACTCGCTCTGTTAAACAGGCAGGCCTCTGGTCCAGACGGGCCCCTGATCCAGACCACAGTCAGTCTCCCTCATGTGATCCTGGAGTCTGTTCCTGTTTACATCACCGCTGGTCAGCACAGGCCGTGTTAACCTCCTGGCCTTGCAGGGTGGCTTTTTTGTGTTTGCAGCTAATGGTTTCAGTCCGGTTGACTGTAAGGGTTTGGGTTTTTCTCTGTTCTGTTGCAGATTTACCGTCATTTGGGCGAGTGAGAGAGTCCTTTCCAGTTCGTTACCACATTGAGAACAGAACAGCCCTGGTGCAGGAGGTAGAGATCGCTGTGGAACCATCTGATGCCTTCATGTTCTCTGGACTCAAACAGGTGAAGTCAGGATCAGTCCAACAAATGTTACGGACCTTTAGATTTTCTTTTTGTACTTTCCTGATACCTGGCTTCCAGTGCTGGTACCTGGACGATACTTTTTCTGGTACCTATATTGAGTCTAATTTTGATAGAAAAGAGTATTTAAAGCTACAAATTTGTAAAGTAGGCTAGCTTAAAACATTTTCTTTTATGCCTCTAAACTGTGTGTGTGTGTGTGTGTGTGTGTGTGTGTGTGTGTGTGTGTGTGTGTGTGTGTGTGTGTGTGTGTGTGTGTGTGTGTGTGTGTGTGTGTTTATTTTATGTCGGTTCACTAACAAAATGTGCAGCTGTGTTTACAGAAGCATGTGTCTTTGGGGCTGCCTTTCAGCAGAGGCTTACAGCTTTGCTTTGTCATAAAGTAGTCCCAAGTCTAAAATGGCGTCTGTGATTCCTTCATGTTACTAATTATTTTCACTTACATTCAGTCTGATTATTCAGGTCACCAAGCAGAAATGGGATCACTTCTGACTGAGCGATCAGGACTTTTTTTTACTCACTTTGCTAGTTGGATCCATTCACATAGTCTGTTTTATGCTAAGCTAAAGGAGTACAGCTGTGTCAGGAGAATAAAGTTATTATTTCACACTTGTCTAACTCGGAAATATCAACATTCAAATTTTCAAAGTTGGGTGGAATATCTCTTTGTCTTTCATTCAGAAAAAGGATGCATTTGCTTCCTCTTTGACATTATTTTTTAATCTCCACAAAATATTTATTGTTATACTATGTGAGAATGTTGTTAAGAGGATTGAAAAAACTGTTTTAAGCTAGCTTGTTTTGCAGATTTGCCATTGTAGCTTTAAAGTTGACACATTTTCCTGTCAAGTTTTTCTTTATAAATCACAAAGTTAGCATAAAAAATAACTTGCAGTTTTCAGACCCTGTTTTGTGCACAAGCAAGCTTTCTAAATGAGGCCTGTGATGTTTTCTGATCCTCAGGTGCGTCTGCGTATCCTCCCTGGGACCCAGCAGCAGATGCTGTATAATTATTACCCCCTGATGGCGGGTTACCAAACACTGCCACAGCTGAACGTCTGCCTGCCGCGCTGCCCTGACTCTAACAGCCTCGCTCTCAGACGCTTCTTGCCTCAGCACATCTTTGTAAAGGTAACGGCTCTGGGTGGATGCACATGATAGACGGAATACAAGACTGTTTTTTTTTACTAAAGCTGGATTTGTTTGTGTTCAGCCTCAGGGTCGACAGCTGGACGACACTTCCATCGCTGCAGCGTGAGGAGAAATAAAATGTATCTGCTAAAACAATGAGCGCAGCGTGGTGTATGTTCATAATTACCCTAACTGTCTACATTTCTGTAAAAATGCATCATGTTCTGACATGACATTTTAGTCACAATGATTACAGGTGATCACATAAAATGACCAGCAGCTTGTAAATGACCTGATTCAGCTGTGAAGAGCCGATGGTGTGATGAAGTCAGTAAAGCTGACGCATCCTGCAGGTCATCAAACTGTCTTTTTCTAAATCAGACTGTTGCATTGCAGGATGAGACATGGGTCATTTACTTTTACTGAAAAATGTGAGTGTTTTACCAACAAACACACTAACATGTCCAACGGTGCTGTTCGATTGCTGCTTTTTACTCTGGTTATCTTCAAGCAAACTTGTTCAAAAATGAATCTTTTTTTGCGTGTGTGATCATTTTTTGTGTTTTACAATGACATAGGTTAGGATCGTGTATGGAAATAATTGCTGTGAATACTGAACAGAATATCATTCACTATCCAATCATCATGAATCATTACACATGTAACATACAGAACAAAAACATTTAGACAGGTTGTTTTTCACTCTGAAAATACTGCTAATTATTTTATTTGCCTTTTTTTTAAAGTGAATGTTTCTCTCTGCTAGGTGTGTAAATAAACTAAAACATTAAAATAAATTCAAATTTTATGGCACTTGGTCAAACTTTCTTTAAAACTAAGCCGGAACGGTCGAGAGCGCTGTTTGTGTTTAGAACATAGACTGTTTACAACCAGCTGTATTCAGACCGGCAGCTGATGGACCAATCAGGAGCAGCTATACTCAGACGTGCATAACCATTGGACCAATCTGGAGTAGCTGTTTCAGACTGACAGCCAATGGATCAATCAGGAGCAGCTAAATTTCACCGGAAGACGTGTCGTTTGAATCAGGATATCGCGATATTTCACGGACGGACGGAAACGGAATTCAAAACTAGGCGCTCCAACCGGCGACATCTGCGTAAAACGGTACAGAAACTCGATTTATCTTTGTCACGTACTTGTTACACATCAACGAAACCATCTTTGTACCCGTTTGCTCAGAGGCACTTACTAGTTTAAAGCCGCGGGTGTTTGATGTTAACCAAACTGAATTAGCTTATGTTAAACCGGAGCCGCTTGATCTGCCATCTTTAACTCCGGCCGTTTAGAAAGCTGCTGCTGGATGTCAGGGGGAGTTCTGTTGGGTCAGAAAAGAGTAGCCTCGCCTAAACCCAGCCAAAGACGGGACCCAGTGAAAATGTGCTGTTGAGCTTTGCTCCATGTGTGAGAACCAGACCTCACCTGCTTCCAGGTGATTTACAACAGTGATAAAGGGTCAAAGGTCAGAGCTGGATTTGGTGCTTTGTTCGGTTTAAATGACCACGAGCGCTGAAAATGTTTAAATAATACCTGAATAACAAATGTTAACATAAGTAGGAGAAAGACACCAAAGTTGTAAATCTGATGTAAAATCAACTAAAATACTTTAATGTGGAGTGTTATTGTTGAGGTTTGTAGAAAGCTCCTTTGCTGTCTGGATCATCTCCAGCTGGCTGACCTTAAACTTCTGGTTCTTTACTTCCAGGGGAGGAAGACCGGTAATGCTCAGTTCCTGATACACTTTCAAAAATGACCGTTGTTCAGTTGGCTGGTTTTAAATCAGTTTATATAGGAAAAAGCATAGAAAATGATAAACAAGACTGCGACCCCCTTAAGCCACCCCTCATGGCCACCAGTCAAAAGGGCCCTGAATCGTCTTTTGTTTTAATCCTTGGCTTGGCCTTGCCCATTTAGTGACAGGTACTGGTACATTTCTATTAGATCATGAAAATGCATCACAAATCTTATCCTGAATGAACAAGATGTGAAGATCGTGGGTGCTGCTGCATCCAGTCTGATTGTGTAACGAACAAGCACTCTGGCATACTTTCTGTACTGGACAGGTAAACAATGGTGGCATGACCTAAGCAATGCTCCAGATCAAATAAATTACCCATCAGGATCTTGGGGTGATTTAAAAAAGAAAACTCAGAGGATACAGCAACAGTTCTGAAGTTAAAGTGTAAACATCATCTGCTGGTTGAAGCTGTTATCCAGTAGGTTTTCATGGTTGGAAGCATTTTGTTTGACCGTCTGCAGCATGTTGGTTTCGTCTGAACCTCCTAGAGAACCTAACCCTTCTGGTCTTCTGTCAGATGGCAGCAGAGGAGCTGGAGCTGCTGAGGAACCGTCTGAGGGAGCAGGAGGAGCAGGTCCGCAAGGCCGCTCAGGCTGGCCTGGGTCTGCTTAACCAGCAGGTGGAGCTACAGAGCCAGCTGGATGAGCAGAGGGTGGAGATGACCAAAACCATTGAGGTGTGACACGGCCACTTCCTGTTGTGTAGAAGCTGCTATGGCTCTGATTCCAGGTGTAACCAGATCGTGATCTCAGGCTTCCTGAAGGTGCTTGAGATCCTTGAAATAGATGTGGTATTTTCTAGGTTTAGAACATATTTGAGTCACTAACAAAGTTCTTCCAGATGTGACGTGAGTTAAATCCCAGTAACAGGTAGTCATGGGATCATCGTCAGCATGAATATGTGATTTAAATCCACTGGAAGGAAAATGCTGTAGTTGAATTTGATCGAGACAATTGTGCAGGAACCCTGTGTTTAAGTTTGTGTCAGTAAAAGTCAGATGTTCTGTTTTTTTTCTGTAGGCTCTTGAGCAAGACAAGTACTCCCTACAGAGGGAGCTGGATCTAAAAACCCAAATGTTAGAGTTTCTTCAGTCCGACTACGAGACGTTCAAAAAGCAACAGAAGCAGACGCTTGATGAGCATCAGGAACATCTGGAGAGGAGTCACAACATGGCCCTGAGCGAGCTCCACAACAAGGTAGAGCTGCATGCAGGGTTTCACTTACATAGGCATAGCCGTGGCGGCCCGCCACGGCTGAAATCCCACCGCCACGCCCATAGGCGGAGATCCCAGGGGGGACGGGGGGGCGCGTCCCCCCCTCACACAAAGTTGTCCCCCCCACAAAAGTTATTGTAAACACATAAATGCTATCAGTAAACCTGTATTGTTTCCTAAAACCACAACGTAAAAGTTAGTCTGCAAATACAAAACAATGTGTTTTTAATTGTTGAGAAATTATAGTCCACCCCCACCAATTCCTCAAGTTGGTACAGTCGGTCCACACACGCTGTTTCCAACGGGTGGGGCTGCCGGCTCTACCCCGCTCACAGCTTCACAGCAGCCCGCAGGCTCACAGGAGGCGGGAATCAAAAAGCCAGCGGTTTCCAGCAGTAAGTCATTTATCACACGCTTGTTCTACAAACTTCAACATGTATGTCAGATGTGGTCATAAATGTCAAACATAGACACTGATTATCTTTAGATTTTGATCACCGGTCGGAGACCCCTTTATGACAGACCACCACCACCACAGTAAAAAATAAAAAAGTGGTCACTTCATGTTCTCTGGTCATTCCAGGATTATTCCACTATTATTATTCCATTCACTAAGGTGATCAAAAGTTCCTTTTTCCGGACACGTACGCTTTCACGGTCTTCCCTGGAATCTGCGGAGCATTTATAGATCGATGAAAATGTCCGCGTTTCATCCTATTTAGCAGATGAATATGGTAGAATCAAAACTTACTGGTCCGATGTGTGGAAAACCACAGCGTTTAACCGCTCTTATCCCGTCTTCCCCAGGCTCTGCAGCTGTTTACAACATGTCAACGTGCAGGTGCACCGTGCAGCTTAGGGATGAACTGGTTGCAGCAAATGTGTGGTGGAGGCACGTTGCTCAAAGCTCTCAGTGTAAAACATAGAGCCAAAGATCCCGTTGGCCACACAGACCCAAAAACACTATGAAAACTGAGAAACGTGAGAGATTGATTAAACTGAAAGATAAACTATAGAGTATGTATATGTTTAGTGTATTTGTAAAGTAAATGTTTTTCGTTTTTATTATTAAAGTGAAACAAATATTTCAAGAATACATTTTTAGATTTTGTGTATCTTTTCATTCAGTAGGACTTAGATCAAGTTATTAAATATTACAGAGTTATTCTCTAGTAGCCTACAAACATTTCTATGATTTATTAAAGAGATTTCAGTCATTCTGATACTTGACTTGTGAAAGCTGATTTGAAGTTTGTTATTTTTTCTAGACATATTTAGAAGGAAAATTTCAAATGTATTCAAATCAATATGGAACTATTTGGGTTTTAGCAGCTTTCATGTGATTTACTAAAACTTTAATTTGACATTTTATGTTCTCTCTCTTTGTTGTGAAAAAGTTAGATATGTTTTAGTACTTAAAATTAATGCTTTGCATCCGTCCACACGTGTAGCTGCTGGTCAGCTAATAGCCGTGTCATTTCAGGACATGTTGCTTCAACTATTAACGATCTACTTTAAATCTTTATTCTGAATTGCTTATTCCGTTTTAGGCCACAGTCTTGTTATTGAAATGAAAACAAAAAGAAAGGATGCTTATGGAGATGTACAAAATTGGCAAGATATTATTGTTGATCAAAATCCTCCAGCTCCGTTCTAATGACAACATCCCATCTGTGTGTGTGTTGCTGTCCAACTGTCAGCAGACCAGGTCAGTTGAAATGGCAGAGAAACTAAAAACGGCAGACATCAGGTCGTTTTTTAATGCTCCAGAACGTCAAGCAAGTAGAAACTTGCATTTTGATAAAGACATCTATAAGAAAGAAACAAAATGCCTATGAAATTGTTTCTACTGTAAATGGTTTCATTAGGCAAAGTCCAGTCACTTGAGCACAGGCAGCCAGAGCCTGTCAGACACAGGCACAGTCACAGGTCAGTCTCTTATAAGGACATACAGTGTTGTATGTAGAGAGTATTTTTCATTCCCCCCCCCCAAATTACTCTCTGAAGTTTTACTGTTTATTGTCCCCCCCAAAATTGAAATGGGATTTCCGCCCTTGGCCACGCCTACAAGATCCCAAGTTGTTTTTTTTTTTTTGCGCTGTTTCCCGAAGAAACAGCGGGAACTACTCTGTTGTCGCTTGTGATCACAGCCGGCGGGCACCAAGGAGCAGGCATATGGCATTTAAAGCGTGCCACAACCCGTGCACGCGCATTGGGTCCACAGCGCGCGTGTGAACGGGACTCGCGAGCGGAAATATACATGGCGAGAGGTAATTTGTGCACTGAGAGGGAGCAAACTGTGTCTGTGAGCGCACAAGGATGTGCACAAGTGACAAACCTGCGTGCGCGCGTTGTCAACGAGCACACGGCAGAGGAAAACGTGCGCGCGCGGCAGCCTCTGTGCGCGCGCGTCAGCCTCTCTGCGCGCTCGGTTTCTGACTCCTGCTCGCTCGGCTGTAAGGGTTTTGGCACTCTGGAGGCGTGGCCTGTGGCAGATCTTCTCTGTCCTCTGATTGGTTAGTGTACCCCGCACTTTACCCTCTACCTATCTATACAAAAAAGTCTGCTATTAAAGCAGTTGCTGGCATAGCTCAGTTGGGAGAGCGGGTGACTCTCGCCCCGGAGGATCCCGGTTCGAGGCCGGGCAAGGAAAATGCAGTAGATGTCATGTTAATTTTTCTTAATTTCAGGTATTTTACAGTTGTGACCGTTCAACTGTCATTAAACGTCCGAATGTTTGCTGGGCAGTGTTTTAAAAAGTGCACATAAGCTAGATGGTTTTAACCATAGAAAATTACATTTTTTGTGATACTGGAAAAATACATACTGAAATAAAACTACTGATTGAAAACTTTATGACTGTGGTTGTACAATATATGACTCACTAATACACTGCAAACTCCCTTAGAGTGGGGCTTCCAGAGAGAGAGAGAGAGAGAGAGAGAGAGAGAGAGAAAAGTTCTTGCCTCATTAATGAATTGTTTATTTTTTTCAGTATTTAATTGACAAATTATCCTTTCAAATAATTAATTGATGAGTTACATAATTGTCCATTTAGAATTGTTGAATGGACTGAGTCAAGTTTGGTGCACTTTATATATTTCAAAACATGTTTTTTTTTAATGATGCATATAAATAATTTAAATGTTAATTTAATGAAATATTTCTATTTTTTCATTACCTCACCCTTGTTTTGACAAAAACGGGATCTTGCTGGATAATATCATGGAGAAACTATTTGTTCACAGTACATGGCTCAGTGAGGATCTGTGTACCAAAGGAGGAGATACTCAGAAATCTGTCTGCAGATTGTTACAACCCAGACTGGAAGTGGTGGGCTGTAATAAGAAAGGAGACCAAACAGAGGAGTGGGGGTTCAACAACTGATTTATTTAACAAAAGTAAAGATTTACTAAAGCAAGTTAGTGAACAGAAAATGGCCAGTGAGGACTCTCCACCACACAGGAGAGACCCAGTGAAAGCAGAAAAACAGTAGGCTTTGTAGGCAGCACCACACCCTGAGCCCAGGTGCCTCCAAGGCTGCTTAACCAGCTGCCTACAACAGAAGAAAAACACAATTAAACACAAATGAAAACCCAATGAGATGGTGGGGGCATCACAACACGTTCAGGACTACCCAAACACCAGTAATTCTTGACTGCACTGATCTGAGGTGTCAATGGCCATATTCCCCTCTCTTCCAGAGTCATATATTTTCCTCAAGTTCAACTGCACTCTGAAGAGGCTCATTTGGATTGTGCCACATAGGCCAGTGACCTTTGTCTCAGCACTGTATGCTGGAACTATCAGCGACCAACCTGGGAATCTGGTGTGTTGAAAATGCTACAACTAGAGATGGTCATCTTGGTAGACAGGGGTTTCTTCATTGATGACATTGTGCCCTGCAAAGTGTACAGGCCAGCTTTTCTTTCTGGCAAACCTCAAATGTCTGCATGTAAAGTTATAGAAACAGAAGCCATAACATCTCTGAGTGCATGTGGAGCGCTCCATTCATCTGGTCCAAGAACACAAGCATTTTGATTGTTATTCCCCTCCTTGCATTTGTAAACAATCAGCTATATGCTGTGGTTTTTCTCCTTACCAACTTTTAAAATAGCCCACTAGTGAAGGCCTGGGCAAAGAAGCCTGATGTCTGAGAACCTCAACATATGTACGGCAACCACACTGTATATTTACACACTTTCATAAAGAAACTGCATATCAAGCTTTCATGCAGATGACCTTCAACAGTGCTGCACCCTGCTGAGGGACATCCGAGTAAAACCTTGAGATGGCCATTTTCTGTTCACTAACTTGCTTTAGTAAATCCTTACTTTTGTTAAATAAATCAGTTGTTGAACCCCCACTCCTCTGTTTGGTCTCCTTTCTTATTACAGCCCGCCACTTCCAGTCTGGGTTGTAACAATCTGCAGACAGATTTCTGAGTATCTCCTCCTTTGGTACACAGATCCTTACGGAGCCATGTACTGTGAACAAATAGTTTCTCCATGATATTATCCAGCAAGGTCCCGTTTTTGTCAAAACAAGGGTGAGGTAATGAAAAAATAGAAATATTTCATTAAATTAACATTTAAATTATTTATATGCATCATTAAAATAAAAAAAAAACATGTTTTGAAATATATAAAGTGCACCAAACTTGACTCAGTCCATTCAACAATTCTAAATGGACAATTATGTAACTCATCAATTAATTATTTGAAAGGATAATTTGTCAATTAAATACTGAAAAAAATAAACAATTCATTAATGAGGCAAGAACTTTTCTCTCTCTGTCTCTCTCTCTCTCTCTCTCTGGAAGCCCCACTCTAAGGGAGTTTGCAGTGTATTAGTGAGTCATATATTGTACAACCACAGTCATAAAGTTTTCAATCAGTAGTTTTATTTCAGTATGTATTTTTCCAGTATCACAAAAAATGTAATTTTCTATGGTTAAAACCATCTAGCTTATGTGCACTTTT